AAACTTTAGAATGTTTAGCAGATGTTTAAAAAATGTTAAAAAATACATTCAGAACGTAACCCGCATATTCAACGTAGTCTACAGACATGCCTTTTTGTAACAGCTTTCCACTTTTGTAACTATTAAGATGTGCTTGTAAGTGCACCTGTCAACTTAGTTGTGTAATAGATAAAGCAAGTCTACTAGGATATTTTTATTAAAAAAAGTTCTTGATGTTTAGTGAGGAGTCTATAAAATAAGTTTATCAAACAGCCTTCTTCTTTAACTATTCACTAGAAACTATTTCAAAAACTCTTCTAGCTCTTGCAAGGTTCATGGTAGCGAAGAGTCCGTACTAATGCCTCTTCAAGCTGTAGTAAATCAGTGATAGTTTTTCATTTGTTACAAATTCGTTGATAAGTGAATAAACCTCCAAAACTCTACATTTTACAGTAAATTACAGGAGACAAAAAAAAAAAAAAAACTAGTTAAAAAAACTTTCTGTAAGTTTCTTAAAAATTAGTTGCTAAAAATCAGTTTGATTGACATTAAAACGTTTTGTGTCTAGATGTAAAGCATTTATTCTGTAACAATGGCTGCTCTACATCTGAAAAAAGTACAAGAAGCAAACCAATTGATTGAAACGAATGCATCTAATATTAACAAAGGACCAAATTGCAATTTTCTTTGTCTCGGATACCATATTGAAATTAATAAACGAATCCAACAATGTAAACCTTTGGGAAACTAAAAAAAACTGTATTTCTCCCCGTAATAAATTTTTGTTAATGGTTTAATAATTTCTTTTTTTGAAAGTAAAAAACATTATTCTTTTTAGAAAAACCATTAACAAAAAATTACTATGAGGGAAAATGCAGTTTTCTTTAATTTCCAAAATGTTTACATTGATGGACTTACGCCATTTTAACACCAATTTAAATAAACTTATGATAGGTGTTGATGATAATTTTGGCACTCTGCTTTTTTGTGAAAGTGATGTAACTGTTGGAAGAAATCGGAGACAGTGTTTATCAGTGGTGATAAATGGTAAAAAACTAAAATTATAGAATGCACCTTAAAATATTCGCAAACATAAATATACTTTCAAGGCTCTATTTTAACAAAGAACATAATAATAATAATAATAATATTTATTTGCATAAAAAAAATACATAAAAATACAAAAGGGTGAGACAGGTAATCACAAGATTACGCTTATGTACATAATCACAAGATTACGCTTAACATCTGAACAAAGGCTATTTAATACAATACGCAACTTTATTGTAAGTCGTAAGTTTGAAGTTTTTTTTTTTGAATATGAATAATGAAGATGAATCGACAATGTGAGCAGGCAATGAATTCCATATTTTTACGATTCTTTCACTGAAAAAAAATCTACGTGTATTGTTAGTATATTTATTGCGTGAAACTAATTTTTTCGCATGACTTCTAGTGGGGTAATGAGAATTGGATAATGTAAAGAAATCGGAAAAAGGAAGGTCGACAAGATTGTCTATAATTTTGTAGGTCATAAAAAGATTGAATTTGACTCTGCGGTGTTCAAGAGAATCAAGTTTTAAAACAGATAGTCTCGATGCGTAATCAGTGTAAGAAATATGGAATCTTTTACAGGTAATTCTGCTGAAGTATCTTTGGACGTTTTCGATGCAACGTATATCTTTAAGAAGGCAAGGACTCCACACTGGGGTGCAAGATTCTAAGATGGACACACATAGACCTTGTAGGCTTTTAAGAGGAGATTTGAATCATTACTGATAAAGGTTTTGAAAAGTAAATAAGCTTTTTTGGCAATACGAGAACAGTGTTTGGAAAATTTATGTCAGAAGATACCGTAATACCAATATCTTTAATACAGTTAACAGTCGTTATCGGGGAGTCCAGGCAAAACGAATACAAATGAACAGTCAAAGACTTACTTCCAAAACATAAGTGGAAACATTTTTTGAATGCTATTTTTTGTTGCCAGTAAGCTGTCCAATCAGAGAACTTTTTTAATGATATTTTAAGGTCAGCATTGTTATTTTTGTCTCTTGTTTGATATAATTTGCTATCGTCAGCAAACAGCTTTATTCGACAATCACCTTCAATACAAGAAACTACATCATTAATAAATAATAAGAATAAAGTCGGAGCCAACACAGTTCCTTGGGGTATTCCACTCTTTACAGGTACGTAGTTTGAGTAAAAATTACCAATGCAAACAAATTGGGATCGGTCATTTAAAAAGTTGGTAATCCAATTTAGAAGTTCGTACTTGATGTCGTAACAATTCAGTTTGTACACTAACTTAGAATGCGATACAGAGTCGAATGCATTTTCGAAGTCAATAAGGATAATATCAACTTCCTTTTTTTTGTTAAAAGCTGAGGTCCATTTATTAAGAGAAGCTAACATCTGTGTACATGTAGATTTACGCTTTAAGAACCCAAATTGGTGAATAGAGATAAAGTTATTAAGTTGAAGGTACCTTTTTAAACTATTATCAATAATTGACTCCATAACTTTGCAACAAATACAAGTCATTGAAATAGGTCTGTAGTTCGTAGATAAGGAGGGTTACCTTTCTTGAAAATCGGACATAAATATGCGGTTTTGCAAATATTCGGAATTACACCGGTTAACATTGACAACTCAAAAAGGAGAGAGAACGAGATGGCAATAATATTAGCAATCGATTTCAGGAATAAGGCAGGATACCCATCTGGTGATTTTGATGACTTTGGTGGAAGTTTTTGAAGAGCTGATAGAACAGAATCATAAGAAAATAGGACATTATTCAAAGAATTATCGTGGGATGGTAGGTCTAGCACAGGTTTAGTACCGTTGTCAGAGACAAACACTGAAGCAAAAAAATTGTTTAGAAGACTCGATTTTTCACAGTCATCAGTACAAAGGGAACCTTTGGGTCTTACAAGTGGCGCAACAGAATTTAAACAGTTAAATTTTGAATTGACGTAAGAATAAAATTGGAGCTGTCTACTATGTATTTTTCTCGAGCAATACAGTTTTTTGTGATTTCAGCATCATATAAACGTGAACAATTCTTGTAGATGATAAGAACAGAAAGGTAATGAGTTCTTTTATAAAGTCTGTACAAAGTACGTTTTTTGGACGCTAATTGACGAAGAGCAAGGGGTTGAACGAGCTTTTTTTTATTGCATAATGAAGGAACGTGAGAAGCAATAGATACACTCAGGACTTTACAAATAGCTTGCCAGAATGATTCAACGTCTGGGTTTTGTTTGGCCAACATATACTAGTTTACGTTAAGTAAGTCGTTATTAATCGAAATATAGTCAGCTTTATAGATATTGTGAATACTAGATAGTTCACGACGTTTGGATTAAATTACAATTAAATAGTATGGTGGAATGGTCGCAAGTGCTGGTGAATGGAGCAGCTGTTTCCACATTGTAAACAATTTTTTTATTATTTGTTAAGATGAGGTCTAACAAATTATTAAGTCGAGTATTGTCAGTTACGAGTTGGGTGAGAGCATTTACAAAACAAGTTTCTACGAAAAAATCATGGCACGCATCACCAAAACTGATAGGAATCGACCAGTCTATACGTGGTAAATTAAAATCAACGGATATTATACATGCAGAATCACACGTTAACAGAAAATTGGAAATCAACTTGCACATGGATTTGGTTTTAACAATGTTAGAAGAAGCACAAGGTGGGTGGTAAATACACAAAAATCTTATCTTGACGTGGTTTGAAGGAGCACTTACGTCGGCACAGGTAAACTCAGTGTTTTGAAGATCATCGGGAATTTCCGGACGAATTTGGACTGAGTGAATATCATTGTGCACTAATATAAGTGAGCCACCACCTTTACCGTCACGGTCATGTCGAAAAACTTTGTAGCCGTTTCCATTTAACAACAACGAGTCTGGAGTAGAGGTGTTTAGCCAAGTCTCTGTGATGAGGATGATATCATGGTTGCCATATTGGAGAAGGTTGTGTAGGTTTTCTAGCTTATTGTTCAGAGATCTTGCATTAAAATATGCACAATTTAACGTTCTGACAGTGGTTTTCATGACGGGAGAAAATTGTAGTGGTCAATCATTCGATAACTTTTTATGCATGGTTTTTCCTTTTGGTGATGCAAATACGTAATGTTTTTCGTTTGATGATTCTTCAACGTTGATACAGCAAATTTGTTTAGTGCGGCGGTGAACGGCATAACGAAAAGAATTATCGAGGAGGCCTGTTTCATTAAGTTCGTCGTTATGTGCTTTTAACGTTTTGCGTTGCTCTTTGAATTTCGTTTGTTGTGCCGGGGTTAGGTCTTTGCGAACGAAAACACCATTAAACTCATCGACTTAGTGGCAATAGCACAATTCAAGTACCTCATTTCGTCCATCTCTACTGTCGAAGGTAACTTTTAATAAATTCGAGGTCGGCCTGCTACTCTTAGGTTTTGAATTTAGTCTTCGAACTGAATTAATAACCATAGACGCTCCACAAGCATTAAAGAATTCGGTAAGGATGTCATTTTTAGTTTCGGATTTGCCAAGGCCAACAACGATGACATTTGATGCACGTTCGTTTCTGTCCTTGGCGTCGGCAGCCACCATGTTTATAACTTGGTGGCTTTCTTTGGATGATTTTTTTAAGACGTAAGCGAAAGTCTTTGTGGGATTGTTTGTTTTATTCATTAAATCAACACTAAGCTTGGTCGATGTTATGTCCAATTTGGTTAGGTCAGACTTCAGCTTGGCAATTATAGAGTCTTTTGACGCTAAGTTGTTCTCAAGTTTCTGTATTCGAATTTGTAAGCTTGATACCTGTTCGTTTAAATTTGCTTCAAGTGCGAGAAACTTTTTTTCAATATCTTGCAGTTGTTTAGCCGAGACCATTTTCAAAATGGCGTTTCAATCAAATATATATATATATATATATATATATATATATATATATATATATATATATATATAAATATATATATATATATATATATATATATATTATCTTATTACACAGGGACTTATTAACACAAATAGAACTGTTTGTTTATTGTGTTTTTTCCGTCGCAAACGTTGCGCAAACGTTGAAGAAACCGAGATATTGTTAAGAAGTTTAAGTAATAACCTTGGCACAGCTTGAAGCCAAGTGCAAGCAAAAAGCTTATTAGATAATGTAACTGTTACACATATAATTTGAATATCAAGAAATGTGACAATTCCGCGTATTATATTGGAATCACATGACTTGCTTTTTTCTTTCAAAGCAAGACGTCAGCAAATCTCAGCTAAAACTACATTATGATCACTATAAAAAATATTGAAAAGCTGATCATGGCCAACTATACGTTGTAGTTTCAAAAGCATGATCATTAACAGGAGTAAAATTTGCTATTTCAGAAATACAAAAATTTGGTGAAAAAAAAAGTTTTCACAAAAAATAAGGTACTAAAGGAGATTTTTAGTTATTTCAGCTCACAACAGTAAACCCGTTAATTATTAAGATGTACAGATGCAGATTAGAGATAATAAATGAAAATTGATTGCAACAAAAAACTTTCTTTTTAAGTTTTGAACATATGCAAAAAAAATATTTAAGGCTAATGTGGGTGTCTCAACAAGATCTATAATAGTTTAAAGAACAACGGAATGTTTACCACAGATTTTTAATCCAGATCGAAATTTCCTGAAGATTGTTTTAAATTTGGTGGATTTAAAAATATAAATAAATTAATAAGTCATTTACAAACAAAATTAATTTAAGAAAAGATTTTCAATATTTAGAATGATTAGAAAAAACGAATTTTAAAGATTTGCTTATGAAATTACCTGTTGAAAAATTCTTCTGATAAAAAAGTTGTTTTTCTTAGCTTAAGATCAGTTTCCTTGGCTCAGCCCTCGTCCTTTTCAAGTGCAAAAAATGCTATTTTACTTAAAAATTGAATTCGCGTCGAGTTAAAATTTGATCTCAACCGCTAAGCTAACAAAAGCAGTTTTAGAATAAAAGAGAATTTAACCTGAGTTGATCTATTTTCATATTAGAGGTCTTCATCTCCACTTGCTTGTATAACTTTTTGATCTTTGCAATGTCATTCAGTTTTTTTTGATCTCATGCTGCCTCAAATGAAATAACTGTTCTGGAAATAACTGTTCTGCACGGAGAAACAAGTTGGGCGCGGTACTACCAGTGGCGTAGTGGTGATCAAACCTGAAACCTCTTGCTTATGAAGCGAGCGTTCCAATACTATCGCATTTATTAGTGCAGTTAGATTGTAAATAAAATCATTGCTAAAAAGCTACATTTAAAAAAAAATGCTGAAGCTGGACATTTTTTAGAAGTTTTTATAAAATCCATTATATTTAAAATCATTTTAGGAAAATATTAAATATTGTTTTTGAAACTTTTATTTAAATACGCTTTAAAAAAAAGAAACATAACATTTTTTTATGTGGTTCAAACCTCATCTCTGAGCAAGTTTGCCAACATCGGTTAGAAAACTTTTTATTAAAAAAACCATAATAAAAATAGTTAATTCATAATACAGTAAGCAAATAGTATATTTTTAATACAAGCAGATTTACTGCATAAAAAATAATGAACCTATAAGAAATTAAAACAACAACCATATGTCCATAATAACAGAAAACTACAAACAATGATATCATCAAAACGAAAGAAAAAAAAAAAAAAAACGGCATTCGACTGAAATTCGAAGAAATTAGAGTTGTCATAGAAACATCATGTTTGTAAAAAGACTATCACGTCGGGAATAAAAGTATAAAAATTTAATATTTCTTGCATTGTTTAAAAAAATGAAATTTTAGAGTATTCAAGCAACTTATTGCATTAGTTATGAATAACTATTGTGTTACCATAGTGGTTACTATTAGATTAGGTAGGTATTAAAAAAGTACTTTGTCATTATATTTAAAACGACTATTTAAACTTTTCTTTACTTTCTTTTTTTTTAACATTTTTTGTCTTGTTTACAGTAAAAAAATTTTTTTTATTGTTTATTATACATTTACTGTATTTATCGAGTGTCAATTCAATGCTGCTTTAATTTAAAAGTTTATTTAACTTCAAAGTAGTCCTAAAGTCGTTCATTACATGAATGCAGTTATATTTATTTAAAAATAATTAAACTTAAATGAAGAAAATGGTATTTATACTTTAACAATGATTAAATAGCTTTAGTAATAGAATTAGTGTTTATTTGTTAGTTAAAGCAAGTCTTGTCTTTTAAACATAATCTGTTTCTAAAAGCTTCTATTTCGTTTTTGTTATGATAACTATTTCATTTTTCTTTTTTGGATAATTTTAAAATAAAAATAAATACTTCTTAGTTTGGCTTAACACGTTTTTAGTAAATTTTTTATGTGTATTTTATAGATAATTACTATTGTAGTTTTAATAATTGTAAGTATTTGTAGTTTTGTAAATATATTTGGTATTTCAAAAGATAAATTAATATGTCAATTTTCAGGGTCTTAATGCATCTTTCTCTGCAAATATTAGTCAATCTATGCACATTAACTACCATATCTCTAAATCAGTTAATGAATATACACTTTGTTGCACATTAAAAAAAAAAATTGTTAAAAAAAGAAAAAATCAAAGCCTTTATAAATATTTAAGTATACCAAACATAGAAATGTTTTTTTTTTAAAGTTGTTTTTTTTATTTGGATATTTGTACAGTATTAAGATTTTTCAAAAAAATGTTTCAGTTTCCTTTATAATCACTGCACCAACTTTAAGATGGCATCCAGATTATCCAATACCTGGTACTTATTTTAATGCTTCTTTGGAAGATCAGCCTTTTTACACTGCCAATCTTGATATTGGTTGGAGTATTGTGGTAGGTAAATTTTATTTACTTTATTTAGTCTCTAGTTAACAAGTTTAGCTATCAAGTAAATTTTTCTTTAAAATACATAACTTATAATTAAATAATAGTTATTTAGAACAACAATCCTAATAATAAAGTTTGATAACAAGCATGAAAACTTTTATTTAGAGATAGAAGTGTTTAAAAACTTTTGCTTAACTAAGAAAATGTTTTAAAACTTTGACCTTACTATCGAAATCTTTAAAAAATATTATTATACATTTTACAAAAAAAAAAAAATACTACATTTAGTGATTTGTTCATCTTAATTTGAAAAACTTACTGAATTATATAGTTTCAATAAATAAAGTTTATTTTGTTTCACTCCTGTAATCAATCGTTTCAATTTTTTTTCATTATTCTCATATAATTTTGTTTAGAATTGATAAAAAAGCGTTTAAATTAAATTAGTTTGATTTCAGAAAAATATGCATATACAAGGAAAAGTCATATTCCTTAAAATTTTTTTTATGAAATTAGGATTTATCAAATAAATAAAATTGAAATGTGTTGTTCACAACATATTTTAATATTGCAGTTATTATAATGAAAATAAAAAATCTATATGGTTTCATATAAAATAAACTAAATCTTTATTTACTTTATCTTTGCAAATAAAACAAAACTAATTGCACCCTTTTCTTTTTAATTATTAATGAAAATTACTTTTTATTAAATACTGCATGTCTTTTATATTTTGTATTTCTTACATTTTCTTTATTCTGTGTTGAAGTTCGATCGATAAAGTAGAGCATCCATCATTTTATTATTGTGATAATAGCTAAATTATTTAAATAAATTTTTATTTGATTTATAGATGCTTTCCTTTCCTTTTCATAGATTTTTTTATTTTCCTGTGTAGCCACTTCAGATAGTTTTTGATTATTGATGTCCAACAGAAGAGTGCATAAAGTTTCCAATCACCAGTTTAGAGGCACAAATATCATCATCAAAGTTCATGCCTGTTGCATGGCCAAATATGGGTAGATTTAAAACCATTCAAAGCAATATCCATTCGAACTGATTTTGAGTATGCAATTCTCAGTAGTTCTGATACATTACTTAGTTTAATTGTATGTCCAGGATTTGTTCTTTACCAAGAAGAATCATAATTGGTTATCAGAGATTCTAAAAAAGATCTGTCCAAAGGTTAGAGACAGTAAGATGTATAAGCAGGAAAGTATAACATTATAATGCCATAGTTTCACACTAGACATAGCTTCAACGTTTTTTGTATGGGTAGTATGACCATCCAAAAGTAGAAGCACTTCCTTATTAATACTTTTCTCTAAGTTTGTGTACTTTATGATTTGTTCCAACCAGTAAACAAAAAAATCTGATGTTATTCATCTATTTTTAGAGTATCCAAATAAATTACTCAGCGGTGCACTTTCCTACAAGCAATCGTTCTTCCACTTGCGTTTAAATATTATCATAGGAGGTATGAATTCACCTGCAGCAGTAATACAATATACATATGTAGTGGTTAAGACCAATTGTAAGGGCTCCAGCTTGATATTTATTTTTATAAGCTACTATTTTCATTTGGGTAATTCCATGTCAAATGACATTTTAATGATCAAGAAACCCACGTTTTGATGATATCATGTCTTGACGATATCAAAAAAAAAAAACTTTAAACAATATTCTGTATTCATTGATCTTTCAGAAAATATAAGGATTTTAATTTGCAAGTATATCCATTGCCATATATGAATAATTGGAATGGTCCCCACTTTTTTGTAGCGGAATATTGCAATTAATTTTTCACTACCTTTCAGACTAGCTGAAGTTCTAAAACTTTTGGTATTTCTGTAGTGCCAAGGAACGTGCATGTTAAAGTTGCTTTCAGGGCCCAAGACACCAGGGTGGAGGGAGAGATGCTGGTCATTAGCCCCACTTTTTTTAGTGGAGTTTTGAGATATATTTTTCACTACTTTCCAGAAAAACTGGAGCTCTGAAAATTTCAGCATATATGTAATCCTTATAAATGTGTGTTAAAATTGTTTTCAAGGCAGATGACCAGAGGGTCCATAAAGCCGAGGGACTGAGGACCATGTCCCACTTTTCTCAAAAAAATTTTTTTTTTGCATTTTTAATAAAGTTAATTTTGAAAATATTATCTTCAAAATATATTTTGGTTTATGTTTGTTTCATTTGGCTTTTAATCATTCTGTATTCAATGACCTTTCTGAAAATGTTTTAAGAAAGTACATTGGATAGATAGATTAAAAACAGTCATCTTTCTAAAATAATGATTTTAACAGAATTTTACATTGTATAATTTAAAACTTTTTTGAATTAAAAAGAAAACAGACAGAATAACATTGATCTGTCAGACAACAACAATTGAAGAATACAAGTTGATGTAATCAGAAGCAATAAACAAGTTAAAAACTCATTCTTACATTGCAACTCATTGCAAAATGTCAAGCAAGATACCTAAGACAACAAAAGGAAAAGTTGGCAAAAGACTGCTGTATTGTCTTAGATGGTTTTACAGAAAACTACACATTTGTAATTCAAAATAAAATCAGCTTAAAAAAAAATCGTCTTGCTTCATGTCAGAAGATAATGAGTACAGCATTGGTTTTGTTTATGAAGTTCAGACATAATTCATAATAACTAATTATTTAAAAAAAAATTATCTTAATATTTCAAAGGTTGTTTTTTTTTCAGATGGTTGAACTGCACAGTATAAAAAGCACAAAAACCTTTACAATATCTGTCTCCACAAAGATGATTTTGACATTGATGCAGAGTGGACATATTCTACAAGTCATGGTATGTCACTATGTGGTAATATTGGTGGCACCTTAAAATGATTAACTGTAAATGCAGGTCTACAAAAGCCCACAAACAACTAGATATTGAACCGTAATAAAATGTTTGACTACTGTACACATATTATATAAAAAGAATTAATTTTTTCAAGATCAAAAAAAAAAGACTAACAGAATTGTGCACCATTTAAAAAAAATGCTTTCAGCTAAGTAAAGTGATTCCTAGAACTAGAAGCTAGTATCAATTAAAATCAGAATTTATAGATACTATTAGCTTTAAATAAACAAGTAATGATTTTAATATAACAGGCATGTTTTCTTTTTCTGATATTCAAAGTATTTAACCTAATCAGCAAATTTATGAATGTATGTGTAAATTTATGTATGTATTTATGTGTGTTTTTATGTGTGTATTTGTGTGTAAATTTATGTATCTTTGTGTAAAAAATGTATGTATGTATGTGCAAATTTATGTATGTATGCGTTCTGTTTAAATGTTTAAATGTTCTGTTTAATTGTTTAAATCTGTTTTGATGCATGTGATTTTGTTGGATGTGATATTTTTCCTAATGCATTTCCAATGCATTTAAGGTGCTGTTTGCAGGAAGTAGCTCCTTTTAATTACTCCAGGTCATCATTGCACTACTTACTACTACTATTCTAAAACTGACTGGGACTCTTTTCTTGATTTTCTTCATGACAGTTATTGGGCTGAAATCTTTTCCATTTCAACTGAAAAATGCGTCTCCTAAGTAACATCCTGGATTCAGAAAGAAATGGATGCTTTCAGAAAGAATGATTCATTTTGTCAGTTCCAAGTCAAGCCTCATTTTTCCATGGTTTTCACACTCTTGTGCAGCTGCTATATCTAATAGTAATAATTTTTTTCATCTTTTTCAAAAGAACAACTCTCTTGAGAATAAACAATTATTTATTATTGCAAGAAATTGATGTAAAAAGGTACCATCAGATGTATCGTTTCTTATCTCAAAAGTTGGGCTCTAGAGACTTTCGGAAAATCTTTAACAGCATTGTTAACAAAGGTCTAACATTCCATCTCTTATTCATGGGACTGATCTTATTACTTCTCCGAAAGATAAGGCTGAGCTATTCACAAAGAACCTCTCTTCTAATTTGACTCTTGAATCTTATGGCCATCCTCTTCCTTCCATTCCAATTAAACAGGTTAACCAATTGTTTGACATTCAAATTCTCCAGCTTCTGTTGCTAAAGTCATTCTTAATTAAAATCTTCTACGGCTTGTGGTCCAGACAACATTCCTGTCACAGTCTTACAAAATTATTCTCCAGAACTCTCTTAATAAGTGCTTGACTGAATCTTGTTTTCCTGCCTGCTGGGAAATGGCATCTGTCGTTCCAATTCTCAAAAACTCTGGTGAACATTCTGACCCTTTTAATTATCATTCAATCAGTCTTCTTTGTGTTATTAGCAAGGTCTTTGAGCTTTTGATAAACAAGTTTCTTACATTCCATTTGAGTAAATAACTTGCTGTCAAACAATCAATACTGTTTTTGATTCTCTTACTCTACATCTGACTTGCTACTATTGTGACTGAAAGGTTTTGTGCATTAAATGGAGGATAAAGTTGATGACTCAACTTTATACTCCTGTCTTGACAAAAAATCTTTTTGATTGCTTAGAAGAGGCAAATAATCTTGAATCTTTGATCTCACTTCTGTAACTGATTGGGGCTCACAGTGGCTTGTAAATTTTAAGTCCAACAAAACTCAGTTAATTACTGCAAACAATTATTGCAGTACTGTCTACATTCCTACATTGATAAATGGGAACCCTCTCACTTAGTCTTCTTCTTTATGTCGTCTTGGATTATCATTTACTACTGACCTTTAATGGAAACCATATATACAATTGATTGCTAAATTAGCATCTTCCAAGGTTGCTTCTCTTTATCATGCTTGCCATTTTTTCTCTCCTGATTCCATTCTCTACCTCTACAAATCTCTTATTTGTCCCTATATGGAATACTGTTATAATATTTAGGTTTGTTCTTCTAATGATGCTCTTTCTCTTCTAGACAAGGTTCAAAAACTTATTGTAAACGTAGTTGGACCCAGTCTATCAGCTAAGCTTTAGCCTCTTTCCCATCATTGTAAAGCTGCATCTCTTTCTTTTTTCTACAAATACTATTATGGTTGCTGCTCAAAGGAGCTTTTATCTCTAGTTCTATCAACCAAAATTCTGGCTTGACTTTTCATTCATTGAAGTCTCATTCTTTTACTGTATCTGTCCCTGCATGCTCCAATAACTTTTATTTGTCTAGCTTTTTTCCGTGCACTTCAACCCTTTAGAAATCTCTCCCATCTTCATATTTTCCTGACTCATACAAAGTTCAACTTTTTAAGTCTTATGTTAACTGTTTCCTTGCTTTATAACTCCATTCTTTTTTTCTAGAAACTCCCAATTTAATAGTGGTTGCTTGCAGCCTTGTTGGAAGTGAATCAGAATTAAAAAAAAAAATTAACATTCCATTGAAATTCGGTGAATCAATTCTGTGTAAATATAATAAGTTTAATTGGATTGGTATGATAAATGAAATTGATAATATTGAGCAAGATGTTATGGAACATTTATGTAGCCGTACTGTCCTTTTAATAAACATTTCTGGCCATTTAGAGCAGATGAGTGTTGGGTTCCAAATACCAACATAGTTTGTATCATTAATGCATCTGTAGCAACAACTGGGCATAGTTATACTTTGACCGTTGACTCAGTTAAGCAAATCTTGACACTTTATATTTTTGTATTTTATTTTGTAAGTAATAAAAAAATGGAACAAGAAAAACCAAAAAAAATTTTGAAGACAATATTTTTAAAGTTATCTTTACTTTATTGAAAATACAAAAAAAAAAACAATTTTTGAGAAGATAAGTGGGACATGGCCCTGAGCTATGGATGGTTGTCTGTCCTGGTAACGATTTTAACACATGTGCATTAGGATTACACAAATACTGAATGTTTTCAGAGCTCCAGTTTGCTGGAAGATAATAAAAAATCTATCACAAGATTCCACTACAAAAAAAGTGGGGCACTTGCTCCAGTATTCCCCTTGACTGTCTTGGCGCTCTGAAAACAATTTAACCTTGCAAATTTATTGGCTCTACAAAAATGCCAAACTTTTCAGAGCTCCAGCTAGTCTGGAACGTAGTGAAAATCAATCACAATTTGCTGCAAAAAAGTAGAGACTGTGCCCTGTAATCTATATATAGAAATCCATATACTTGCTATAATTTTTTTATATCATTAAGTCCACATGGGTTTTTTGAGCATTAAAAACAGTTATATAAAAAATTGCCTAAATTTATTTAAATTGATAATTGCAGGTACTTAATAATAGTATTTTACACTTCTTATCATTTTATTGGATTCATCACCCCCAAAAATAGCCTGTTGCAAATTCCTAGGTAGAAAAATCAAATATTTTTAAAGTTATGTGACTTTAAATGTTAAATAAACGTTGCAATTCTGTGGGGACAAGGAGAGGGCCTGGTAAATATCTGCTTTAAGTAAAATGGTCATATTTCAGTATCTTCTTGGAGCCAGAGGCTAAAATTTTCAAGGAATTTTTATTTTACTTAACATTTTTAACTGTATAAAAATCAGCAACATCTTAGGTGTATGGTAACATGACCTGGGTCATTTGACATAGAATTATCTTTTTCTTACTATTTCATATATATTTGGTTAGCAGTGAACTTGTTTTCATATAATATGGATTTGTGTTTATCAAAAAATCTGTAAACATATTCTTTATTGAAAGCCCTGGCCGTGGCAATTGACGTTGCCTCTGGAGTAGGCAAAATAAAAAAGGGTTATCTTTCATGATTTTATAGTACCATTTCTTCCCTGCAATTTCTATTTTTCTATTGAAGCTGTGTGGTTATTTATATTTTTCTGCCAATTGAGGAGCAAGTTTTCTTAGATCAGTTGCAAAATCAAAAAAACCAACTCTTCCATATTTTTGGTCATATCCTTAGGCTTTCCAATTTTAAGATTTTTATTTAAATGTTTAAAATGTAGACTTAATGTTGGTTCAGGGATGTTACACTGCCTAAAAGCTTCATTGAAGCCAATGACTCCTTTAAATAATTTAATTAAAGCCTCTTCCACATACTATTTTTTCATTTATTAAAAATATGTTTTTAAATAAATTTGGCTAAAAAATAAAAATTAAAGCAAAGTCAGTTAAGAAAATGTAATTTTGATGTAAAAAGTTCCAGAAAAATTTTATTGACAATAATGTAGTTTTTTTTATTAATATTTCTTAATTATTATAATTGTAAATACTTATGTTAATACTGATGTATTAGCTAAATTAATGATGCATTCGAAACTTCTTTTCTTATTTTTTAGTATACATTTCTTTGATCATTATCTCTTCTTTTTTTTTCGCCTCTTTGATCATTGTCTTTTCAAATGTTACACTTTTTTGTTGCCCATTTTTTCTCTGCCATAATTCAGAACTTTAAGGATGCACATGGTGTTAAACTTTTTTTGGTTTATAATCTTTTCCTTTGAAGCATATTGTTCTGTTAGCATTAGAAATAATTCCCTAAACTTGGCAAGGAACATCTTACTTTGTCCTTGGCTTCTATTCTGCTTTACCAGCTGATCAGTTCTTTCTCAGAGATAATTAATATAGCAAACACACTCTAAACTTATAGCACTACTTATTTCAATCTTTTTTTGAATTCTCTGTTTTTATCAAAGATAAAACAAATTGTTCAAACACTCAAAACCGCTGTTAACAGTACCTTGTATACATCTTTTGTGAATCCATAACCTAATAGTTGTTTAATGTATAAATATGCTCTAACTGCTTTTCTACAGGCTCCATATTTTAATCATATATATATATATATATATATATATATATATATATATATATATATATATATATATATATATATATATATATATATATATATACATATATATATAATTATATGTATATATATATATATATATATATATATATATATATATATATATATATATATATATATATATATATATATATATATAATTATATGTATGTATATATATATATATATATATATATATATATATATATATATATATATATATATATATATATATATATATATATATATATATATATATATGTATATATATATATATATATATATATATATATATATATATATATATATATATATATATATATATATATATATATATATTTGCTGACCTTAATCTTTTTGAGCTTGGCAAAAACTATTTGATACAATGGTCTAACCATAAAACATAGAAATGAGGTTGGCAGTTTTTTGCCGACCTCAAACACTTTCAGGTCGGCAGTTAGGTTGGCATTGCCGAATGTCGACCCTAATTCTAAGGGTTGTATATATATATATATATATATATATATATATATATATATATATATATATATATATATATATATTTGTATTTTATTTTAAGGCTGTTGTCCAGTTAGTTGATAGCGATACTGGAAATTTAATAGAACATAACACACTAACTTTAATAAATCACTATTCTAAAAGAGTATGGGATGCAGCTCAAAATAATATAACTTTGGTTGATAACTATACTGGTGATTTTTGTATAGCAGACTTTTGGTTAAGGAACTCCTATTTAAGGTAAACCATTGATTTTTTTTTATATGCAACAAAATTTAGTTTTGCATTTTGATTTATTTCTCAGTTAATATATAAATAAGTCTCTCAAAATTTATGGGCGTAAATTTTTTCAGTTTATTAAAAAATTCTTAAGCATTTAAAGTTATGTTTATGTGAAGTTTTCAACCCAAAAGTTACAAGGCCTAGGCCAAGGACTAGGCCAAGGCCAATAGTTTTAAGGTCAAGGCCAAGAAAGAAGAGTTTCAAGGCCTATGCAAACATTTTCAAAACCAAAAATTAAATTTTTGCTGTAAAGCCAATTATTAACAAAACTGTAGGTAACAATTGCTGTGACAATAAAACCACATCTTATAAAAATAAACCAAGGTTATGCGAAGAATTCAACAAAGTCAATAAAAAAATATACTAGTAGGTATTTATGAAAGCTGAAAACAAAAAAACAAAAATATAAAGAATGAAAACTTTTAATTTTTTAATTTTATTTATTTTTTCAAGACAAATGCTAAAACAACCAAGGCCAAGACCAAGGCCAAGGCCTTAATTTTTGGCCTTAAGGCAAGACCAAGGACTAACAACTCTGATTTTAATATAAATATTAGACATTAAACAACACTATTTTTACAGCACTATTTATCAGAATTTTTTCTAATTTACATGAGCAAAGGAAAAAAATTAATAGCTGTGGAAACTAAAGACAAGGAAGGTGCAGTCCTTCCCTCACCTTTCCCTAAAAAAGGATTTGATTTCTTGATTGTGTAGGAATATTTGTGTCTTTTTAACATAAATTTCTTTATCAGAATCTTTTGTTTGCACTTTTTTTTTAAAGTAGATAATAAAATAAAGTTATTGGTACCTATCATTTTTTTCCTATGGTCTTTTATGTAAGTCTGCTCTTCCAAAGGAACCTAAACAATTTTTAAATATTATTTTGATTAAACTTACAGTGAAATAGATTGTAATAATTATGTAAAAAGTATAAATATTTGATAAAAATTAAACAAAGTATGTAGAGTTTTATTTGAAATAAGTTACTTTCTATTTTTATTTGAAACTTTTTAATTTTATTTTTATTTGAAATAAGTTACTTTCTATTTTCATAACTACAGATTTTATAACAATGTTATTTTCAAGAAGTAATAATAATTTTCCAAAAAATATTTTCTTTTTTAAATTTTTCTTTTGCTTTTTTATTAAAAATAAGAACAAAAATTTCGATAATAAATGCTGTAATATATAAATAATTTTCTGTTTAATTTAGCAGCTTAATTTTTTTTTCAAGAATTAAAAAGTAATTACGCAATGTAACTTTTTTTACGCTTAAAACTGTCATTCAGTTACTAAAAAAACGTAAGATTTAAAAAAATAAATGTAACAAAACTCATTTTTAAAACTCGTTGCAAAGTTAGAAGACAATTCAATGTATAAAAGATTTGTCTTTTTGTAAGATAAAATGGTTTTATAATATCAGTTTAAATTAAAATTAAGATTTATCAAGTAAAATTAAAATTTATCAAGTTTAAATTCAGAGTAAAGCTAATTATAATGAAGTTGTTTGTTGGAAATTGTTTTTGAAAATAAAAGAAAAAGAGTAAAAGTTTCAGTCTAAATAACAATGTAGTAATTGCGCAAATTTAATATTTGAATGAATGAACTTATTAATTATAGCTATTTTATTTTATATTAGGAAAACGAAAAAATGAAACAAAAACTTTTTCAGAAAATTGTTTCTTTTCTATTTCAGTTATAATAAAAATAACAATTGCAATAACTTCATAAAATTTTTATTAAGATTCACTTATTTTTAAACTTCAAATGATTAAAAAAAATTATTGTAAATGTAACTTATATATTAAAAGCAATTATTTTAATTATACTTAATGATTAAAAAATAATAATATATTTTTTCAACCATTAAGTTTACAATAATTATTATTTTAAGAGGCGCCTTAAAGCACTTTAAAAATTATCAAATTTTAGTAAAAGTGAAATGATATGCTAATAATAATAATTGACAGATTTGCTAATATTTAAATCGAAATTAAAAATAAAATCTTATGATTTACTCAATATAATTTTTTTTGCCGGAGGCATTTTTTTTTTGACTGTTTTTATAAGTAAAAAAATATTCTATAATTCCTTAACAAAAATAGCAATAAATGAACAGCTTCCATGAGCTTTGATATAACACTTTTTTGTTTCTTTTTTTGCTTACATTTTTTAAACAGTATATCATAAAATATTCAATAAAAATGGTGTCTTTACAGCACATGTTTTAAGTTTCAATTTTAAAAACTTAAATAATCTTTGTAAATGTTTTACAATATATATTTAAAATAAATCTCTCTAATTAATAGTATATATTTATAATAAATCTCTCTAAAACTAATATCTTGTCCTTCTTCATCATTAGAATCCCCTTATCATTGTGCCTTAAAGATGACTGGGACTCTTTCTGTATTTTTCTTTGTGATGGCCTTTTAGTAGAAATCTTTCATCTTCCTGCTGAAAAATGTGCTTCATACATAATTTCTTTGATTCAAGCTGGCACGGAATCTTTTATTCCTTTTTAACAGTTCCAATTCAAGTATCACTCTTCTCCATGGTTTTTCTTGCATTGCACTGGTGCAATTTCTAATCGAAACCATTACTTCCATATCTATCAGCAAAACAAATCTCTAGAAAACAGGCGTCTGTTTACTATTGCTAGAAACCATTGTAAAAAGGTTTTGACTTACGCCAAAGCCCGCTATTCTTAAGTCATGAAATCTTGTCCTTTTACTCTGACTGCTCCTAAGTGCTCTAAAAATTTATATATGTCCAGTTTTTTTGCTCGAACATCAATTTTTTGGAATTCGCTTCTTTTTTCTTTTTTTCCTGATTCATATAATTTGCAATATTTTAAGTCACCTGTCAATTGTTATCTTGCTCTGTAAACTTCATCTTTTCTCGTCCAGTAACTTCCAACTCTAGTTGTTGCTTGCAGCCTTGTTGGAGGTGAAGATGTTTAAAAAAAAAAGTTCATAATGTATAATTATATATATTATAATATATAATTATATAATATTTAGTTTTATTTTATTTTATAAAAATTTTTAAAATATATAGCTTATATACATATAATTAAAATGTAAAGCTTATATATATAATATATAGCTTATATATACAATTATAATATAACGCTTATATAAGTAATATATAGCTTATATATATATAATTATAATATAAAGCTTAATAAGCTTAATAAAAATAAGTTTTTACTAATCATTAGAAGTTCCTTTTTTCCCCTAAAAGTTTTATCTTTTGGAAAATTACAGCTTTTGTTTTCATACATTTTTGTAAGCAATTTGCAACTATGAAAAAAACAAGATTATTAGTATTAGTTTTAATTTCGATTCATATTATTTTGATTTTTTATAATAATGTTAAAAACTTTTTAACATTTTTATAAAACTAGAGACAAAATTTATCCCTACATCAATGAAAAAACAAAATAAATTATAAGCATCTAGTCAACTGTCATAAATAGAACATATATATATTTTTTCATGATATGGTACTGGTTCTACAACCAACATGAAATAAAAAAATAAACCATTTTCTTTTTAATAGAAAGTTGTTACACATATTTTTTTTTAATATTATTTAATTGTTTTTACTTCCTACAAGGTTGCAAGCAACCACTATTAAAGTTACTTAAAGAGTAAAAAAATGAAGTTTATAAAGCAAGATAAAAATTAAAAAATGAAGTTCATAAAGCAAGATAACGATTAATTGGTGGCTTTAAAGATTGCAAATTATACAAATCAGGAAAGCAAGAAAAAGGAAGCAAATTTCAAAGAACTGATGTTTAAGGAAAAAAAATTGACAAAAAAGAATTTGTGGCTTTTTAGAACAGTGACAGGGTGTTACAGGATAAAAGGGTGAGACTTAACAATACTTAAATAACAAGTAAGGTGAGAATGAATTTTAATAGATGGCACAAAAGATGTTAGCTCTTTAGATCAGTGGTCAATTATAGTATTTATATAAAAGAGAAAGAGAAGCTTTATTAAAACAATATGATAATGGTTGAAAGTTGGCTACGAGAACAGGTCTAACTACGTTTTTAATGCATTTTTGTACCTTGTCTAAAAGAGAAAGGGCATCATTCAAATATCCACTCCAGATATGGCAACAGTATTTCATACAAAGACAGATTAGACATTTAATGAGATAAAAAATAGAATTTGTAAAAAATAGAAGAATAAAAAAGTGGCAAGCAAAATAAAGAAATTCACCCTTAGCAGATGCTAATTTTGCAATGAATTTAAATATATGGTTTTCAAGAATTACGAAAGTAAACATAGTTTGTTTATAAACATAGGCAGATCTAGATTATAGAGATAACAATTAGCCGAAAATTAATGTTCACTAGGCACTCAGAGCCTCGTGCTATAGCAGAAATGAGCTCCGAGCAATCAGAGTGTGTTGGCTTCTCATCAAGACAAGAATAGTTGATATGATCATTAGCAAGCGATGCTCTCTTAAATGTTAGAATTTTTTCAAAATTGTTAATGTAAATTTAAAAAAATATCGGTTCAAAAAATGAAACCTTGAGAAACCCCTGAAGTTACAAGGAATAAAGAAGAGTGCTCTGTATTGAGAATAACATTTTTACTATGATCGATAAGGAAAGGTTTAGTAATCTTAAAGATTTTACCTAATACACTGTAAAAAAAGAGCTCATGGAAATGACCAGCTTATGGAGATGACCAGCTTATGGAGATGACCAGCTTACTAAACTTTATCAAAAGCTTCAGAAGTGTTGAAAGTAGTCTTAATCTCTCCACATTTATCAAATGTACATTAAAACTTATTATTATTGTTATTATCGTTAACGAATCAGCAGTAGCATCAAGATTAAAATCCTTATAGATGATCAGAAAGTTATTAGATTCAAAATGAGAGATAAGTGCTTGTTAATTAAAGATTCGAAAACCTTACTTATGATAGTAAGAAGATTAATAGGGCAATAGTTAAATGAGTCAAACTGCTCTTCAGAATTTTTGAAAATAGGGATAACAAAACTCTTCTGCAAGACTATAATCGGTATGTCGTCTGGACCACAAGCTGTAGAAGAATCTAAGCAGGAAATCACTTTAGATATAAAAGCTGGAGTGATACAAATGCAATGGAGTGATACAAAAGGAACTTCTAAAGATTAGTAAAAACAAGCAATGGATCAAATTGTTTGTCGGCTATATCATGGAAGATGTGATTAGTGGAGCCAAGAGATAAGATTGATGAAAGGTTCTTAGTAAACAATTCAGCTTTGTCTAAAGGTGAGGTAATAAAATCTGACCATGCAAGGGAGGCAGAACAACAGATTTGCTTTTATTATAGGTACTGTTAAGGATTTTCCAGAAGTCTTTGAAGTTTAATTTTTAAGATGAAGTATGAGATTTTGTGACTTAATAATATCGGCTTTGGTATTAGACAAAATCTTTTTGCAATGGTTTCTAGCAATATTAAACAGACGTCTATTTCCTGAAGAATTGGTTTGGAAATAGGTATGGAAGTAATATATATAATTGGAGATTGCAGCAATACAATGAGAGGAAAACTATGGAGAAGAGTGAGGCTTGACTTGATATTTTTGAGGGGAAATAAAAGAATCCATGCTAGCTTGAATCTAAGAAGTAAAATAAGAAGCGCATTTGTCAGCATAAAGAAGAAAGTTTTCTACTCAATGGTTGCCACAAAGAAAATCACAGAAAGAGTCTCAGTCAGCTTTAAGATAGTTGGAAACGTACAATGATATGGCAATGATAAAGGATTGTATAATATTTTTAGAGAGATCAAACCATGATCAGAAGCACCTAAGGACAAATAATTAGAAATTAAGTAATGACAAGGAACAGAAACAAGAAATATTGAGTAGAGAAGAAAAATAATATAGAACAAAGAGAAAAATGATAAAGTAAAATAGCGCTAAACGAAAGCACATAAAAGAGTAGTCTGTGGATTTAAACCGAGTTTCTCAACAAATGGGTGAATTCTTACAAATATAAATGGTTAGGCTAAGCATGTAAGTATCAGAATCTTTACGAATTGAAGGAAGATAACTATCAACATTAAGATCACAAGATGAGACTCAAATTAGTTTCACAAAGAGCAAGTAGGTCTGGTGATTATCTCTTTGCAAGAGATAATACTCAACAGAAGAAAAGTTACTTTGAAGACCATGAATATTAGTGAATGATAGGTTTAGAGAACTTGGTGATAATTATTTTTTGTATTTTATAGTTTTTGGTACTTTAGTCATTTTAAATTTTTTAAAGAACTTGACTTAAAGCTTAGATAGTTTTCAGTACACTATTTAATAATCCAAACAATTGCTTCATTACTATTAATAAAAGCTGTAACAGAAAACTCCAAATGTGGCCTTGACACTGCACACAAACAGGTAGTTTGATGGTGCCCCTATTCAAAAAGCACTATCTATGCGTAACATGGCACTGTTATATCTCTGATTCTTTACAGCTATTGATGGAATCAGCCTTATTGAAAACTACTACAGAGTTTGAAAAACCTGACTACTAGCCAGCCTTAGAACCATAAAACCTTAACATAAGTTTTAGATCTGTACCCTTATTAGGAGATAATAGGCTGAGTTGCCTAGTCATAAAAACAGAAACACAAGCAAAACCCATGCATTGGGTCAAGAAGATCCAGCATTCAACATTCTAACCTGGAAACAATGTACTTTAAATACTTCTATGCTAGCCTAATAGATGAAGAGGGGGTGCAAAGCTGGTCAACAGATAGGATCTATTTACCCCATTATATAAGTATCTAAATTATCTTGGTCAACATGCCCAAATATTGCTCAATATATGCAAACATTAAAAATGACTAATTTCTATTTATTGAATTTTATCAATTTTTTAATTTCATGGTTAGTCTTTTTTGAAGAATTTTAAGGTTTAGTAGATCTAGAATGATTTTCTAGTCTAGTCTAAGTTTCCATATACTTTTTTTTAATTTTTACCATACAAGGATAGAAAATTAATTTTATTAATTTTATATCCTTGTCTTGTAATTTTATTTTTATATCCTTGTCTTGTAATTTTATATCCCTACGTCTTGCTTTGAAGTGATGTTAAAAAAAAAAGGAATAATAGAAAATAGTATTGACTTTTAATTTATGACAATAGTCAGTGAAAGTATCATTCATTATTTGAAGGCTTGGTTACAATGATAACACTAATATTATTTGGTTTAGATGGGAAAATTGGAAGCCTAATTATCGCCAATGTGGAGTAGCTGGTCAATGGATAAATATGTATAAAGGTGAAGCATGGTTTAGACAAATTTACTTTCAAAACCAAGCTTTTTCTGGAGATGATCAGCGGTTTCTTCAAGTTAATATAACTTATAACAATACTCAATATCTAATCAACACTCTCCCATTTTCTACTTACTGTGAGTTTAATTTTATGCATGTATTATACATTAGTTTATTGTTATTTTTATTAATAAATTTTTAAGTGGTTCAGCAAAAAGAATATATAAAAATATAAAGAAATATTTATTCCATTATGTGTACTTATGTCATAGGACATGGCAAAGAAGCAATGCTTTGCGTTTATTTTGTGATCTTTATCATAACAGAATGCATTTATTAGTTATTTTGTAGTTATTTGTTATCTTGATGTAGTTATTTGTTAACTTGTAATTATTGGTTAACTTTTCATAACAGGATGTAGTATTTGTAATTTTCATACTGCATACAGTATTTATTTTATTGATTGTGCCCAGTAGTAAATAAACTAGTAACTAGCTAGCAATAAACACAACATAAACTCCTTAAATTGAATACTTGTTTAGGTTAAATCAATATAAGCTTCACATCAAACAAAGACAATTTTTGTTTTTATTAACTTTTTAGAAACACAAAGCTTAACTGCTTTTCTTTTTCTTTTTACTGCTAAATTTTGGGCAATCTTCAACCTATTATAGTCACTAAAAACTTGTGTTAGCTATTTTTTAGAATTTAGAAAACGGAACTGTAAAGTATTTAAAATTATTATTAACTAGATAGCTAATTGAAAAAATAACATAGCTAATTGAAAAAATAACATTGAAAAAGGTCTGGAGTTAATGTTTTGAAACACGTTTTGTTCTATATATTTCTCAATAGCAATGATAGAGAAATATTTATTGAGCAATATAGTAATTAAATTGTATTATTAATGGATGCATTTAAATTATGTCCTTTAGCACCTACATCTAAGATATTGTTGTGAGTGATTTAATTTTTAACATAACTCTTTCATTTATTGAGAAGATTTTAACACATTTTTGTGCCGCATTATTTAGTTTATTTGAAAAAGTGTTACAACATTTATGTAAATTTTATATTTTTAGCAAATTAACATCTTCATTCATTTATGTTTTAAATTGTTTTAGTTTTAATTGAGAAAAGTAAATCAAAGTACTTTTATTCTAGTCAAATTATTTTGCTTGACTAGCTTTGCGCAAGTATTTTAATTTACTTTCTTATATGTTGAAAAAGTTACATCTATTACAAAAGTTAAACAATCACATTTTCTGCCTCAAATAACTCTGGACTTGAAATCTAAATAAAAAATAAATAAATTTGTTTTTTAATTTAAACAAAATAAGTTTAATAACTTTTAATAAGCGCAGTTTTGATAAAACTTTTATTAATTTTTTTTTCAAAACCAGAAAAACTTAGCTTTGTACTTAGGTTCAGGAGTGAAAATTTTTTGAATTTTTACTTTCTTTAAATTTGCTCGATTTTTTTTGCACATATAAAATGAAATTTTACAAAGATCATGGTTGTCAATAGAGTAGTTTACCCAAAAAAAAAATTATTGAAAAGACTTCATGATTGTTATTTTGCTTTAGACCTGCTTTGTACTGAATCCATTTAGACTGATTGCACCTAAAAAGATTACTATTTTTAAACACAACAAACACAAAAGCACAATTTTTTTTTGTGGTCCTTAGCAAAGTATGAAATTTATTTTCTTCATTTAAAATTCTAGAATTTTCTAACTATTTCTAGCAGATAACTCTTAAAAAAATAATGTAAATCTTATATGATATTATCATAATTTTATTACTGTTTCTTATCTCAGTTGCGAATGATAACAAATAACCACAAAATGCAACCAGTGGTATTAATCTAAATTGCCAGATTTCTATTTCTATTTACCAAACCTTTTTATTTTTTGCTTCTGGTTTTAATATTCTAGTAAGTAACACTTCTAGTTTTTGAAATATATAGTATGTCGGCTTATTATAATTAACTACATATCAGTGTTTATATACATTAATTTGTAGCTAACAACTATACAATCACATTATTCAAAGTTAAATTAGTTTTTTCAATATATTCGAACCAACACTAATTTTTTTATTTTTTAAAAGATAAAATACTAAATTATATAATAATGTAAGAAAAAATTTTTTTTTTAAAGTTTTTAAAGAGTTAGCTAGTCTCTAGTTTATTTATTTTTTATTTTTTTATTTTTATCATAAATAGTAAATGGATGTGTGGTTGCTTGACTAACTTTTTTTTTAAAGACCATGAAAAGAAGATATAAGTCTAATGTTTATTCAGCTATTGGTAATTAAGACGGCTTCTTTGATAAAGTGATGGTGACAAAATTTTAAAATATATTTTCAATAAATTCAATGATGCTCATAACCGATGTTCCTTAATAACAAATGTTACTCTGATTGCTAATATATTTTGATTTATTGTATGATTTATCATTTTGTCGCACCCCTTCTCAGTGATTGTTTTGATTCAGACTGATTCTTTTCAGGCTATTTTATTTATCTAGTTTTTAGCATTTGTTCTTAATTTTTTTTGATTAATTTTATTCACAGATTTTACTTTAAGTCTAGTTTTTAGATATTAGTTTTAGATGTTTCTATGTTTTATTATTAGTTTTGAAGAAAGTTTGAATTTAGTACTTTTCTCAATAGCTTTTCGTTATCTGCCTAATGGTTTAAAATTTGTAAATCCGTTACCCGCAACTGTTGTTGCCAACACACCGTTTACAGTAAAACTTCAGGTAGTTAACTCAGAAGGTTTTCGAATTAATGATACTCAATATTCTAACTGGGAAACCATGTCTGCTGTAAGCTACATTCATAAACTGTACAGCAGACCATATGGATTATGGTTATTTGAAACAGATTGTGTTTTAGGTGGCAGTGATGTTGTCACTACTGTGACCAATGATCTAGCTATTTTTAAGAATTTAGAAAATGGAACTGTAAGTGTTTAAAAATATTTTTAAGTGGTAACTAAATTTCTGAAACTAAATTACTGAATAAATGATAAATGTCTGTAACTATGAGTAAGTAATTTTCTATAAGAAAATTACTCACTTATAGTATATATATGTATATATACATATACACATATATATATATATATATATATATATATATATATATATATATATATATATATATATATATATATATATATATATATATATATATATATATATATATATATATATATATATACACACACACAATATACATATACACTCTAGCATGGTCATTTTTAATTTTTCCCATAAAATGTCAACTTTATGTTTTTAAAAAAAAAAAAAAGTGCAGCAGCTCTTGCTTGTAGCAGCAGGCTATACAATAGTCGATGTAGCAGCACTCCCTTATAGCAGCAAGCTATAAATTAGTTGATGTAGCAACACTCTGGGACTGTAAGTAGATTAACTATTTTAGTCATAGGTGCAGATGAATGTGAATATATTAAATGCTTATTATTTATGTATAATTTAGTATTTTTTTTAGTTTTTTAACTTTTTGCAGTCTTTTTTTTTAACTTTTTTGAAATTTCTCTTTTTTGTAAAATTTTGAAATTTTTGAAAATCTAATACACAGTCTTCTCCGTTTGAAATTTAATGCCAGCGCACAAAAAAGTGCTGGCAGGATGGTCATTTTTAAGTTAGCCTATACACTTTAAAAAATTAATTTTTTTCCTATATTTAAACTCAAATAAAAACAGCAAAAAGAATGTTATGAATAAATACTAGAAAAAAAAAATTAAAAAAACTGAACAAAATCCAATTTTCATAAAAGTTGAACAAATGAACAAAAAAGTTTTGTTCCAATTTAAGACAAAAGACTTTTATTTTTTTTGGCAAGTGCTATTTTATGCATAGGGCTAAGTTTTTGCTGGCGTGTGGGCGAGCGCAAAAATACTTGAGGATGAAAGCACTGGCTAAACAGAAAATTGAATATATGCTACTTATGTAACATTTATTTAGTTAAAGAAAAAAAGGGAAAAGTTAAAATATTCCAAACAAGTATATTGTTTCCTTTTTTTTTCATAAGAAAGATTGTTATTAGACTTTATTAGCATTTTAAGTTTTAACATTGTGTCAAAGTTTTTTAACAACAATATTTAAAATAGATGAATTTTTAAAAAATAAGTCATAAAACAATATAATTTTATTAAATTATAGGTTGATGTAACAATGCAGTTAGAAGACATTTTTGAAAATTTGCAGCTTAATTTTACTTTAAAGAAAAAGTATCAACCGTATCGAAGATATCCTGAAGAAGAATTTGATTCAGTAGCAAATAGAATGGAAACTTATGAATTATTTTCCCCATTTTTAATTGATGCCTCTTCTAACAGCTCCTTCATTCGGTATTTTTATAAAAGTAGTTTTTTTTTTTTAAATATATATGTGTTATATGCAATAAAAAGAACTATTATTTATGTTTAAAGTTATCAAATACTGCATACTTTTTTCAGAAATATTTTCTGAATTTATAGTTTTTCTATACAATATATGATTATGGTAAACAATTTTAGTGTTTTTTTTTATGGTTTATTTTATTATGGTTTTATTTTTTATTATGGTTTTATTATTTGTTATGATCTATTTTTCTAGGTTTTATTTCTATGGCTATTTTCTATTGTTTATCAATTCATATATAAATTTACTTTAGATACAAAAATTATGATCCTGTTAACTATTTTAGAGGAACACTGCTGGCTAATATCACTGTTACAGGTAGGAATTTGTTATTTTTTAAAGTAGCCTAATATTTTCAGTCTTATTAATCTAAAGTTAACACAATATGTGTTGTATACAGACCATTGTGTTTAAATGTATTTTCACAACATGTGCTATTCCTAGATCAATGTGTTAAAATGTGTTCATATGGTGTATATGTGCTCCCAGGAAAAAAAATTCTATAGAATTTCTATAAACTTTTAAAACATATGGCTTATAGAAATTCTATAGAATTTTTTTAGAATTATTAATTTTTATAGAAATGGCTATAAATCTTTTTTTCTTTATAAACATATGTAAAAAAAAAGTTCTATAGGAATTTCTATCGAAGTTAAAAGAAATTCTATAGAATTTCTATGTTTCAAAAGTTTATAAAAATTTTGTAGAGCTTTTTTTCCCAGGCTGCACATAGACCATCCAAAAATATGATGAAATGTATTCACACTTTTTCTGGCACATCAATAAAATGAACTTTTATTGATGTGTCAATTCACTTTTTGTTTAAATAACAGGTATTATTGTTTTTTTTTTTACTATAGAGTTAAATTAAAATATGTGCTTTTATTGAATTTCACAGTATTCAGTTTTTTCATGAAACTAATACCTTAATTTAATTTAATTCATAAAATACAGTAATTAATGCTATTTACAGTATTTACCAGATTTATACCAGTGAACTTTCAGAATTTGAAGAAGTTGTACTCCTTTTGTTTTACAACGATAGACTAAAAATATTGTAGAAATATTTTTATTCCATTATTGTAAAACATAAAAATATATAAAAATATTTATATATTGAAATAAGAACTTTCAGATTTTTTGTTCCTGGAAAGGATTTTACTGTTTTTTGCAAAAAAATAGAAGTTGATTTAAAGTGATGGAATAAAAATATTGGAAAATTATTATTCATTTTTATAGTACTAAAAGAAATAAAGTATTTACTTTATTTCTTAAGTTATATGAGATATATCATAAAATTATATATCTCATATAACTTCATAGATTATTGACATGAGTATTATTATTATAAATACATTTTATAGGTAAAATATATTATTGTTATACATTTTGTAGATTATTTATATCATTAATAATATAAGTTTAGGGAGAATTTGATAAGTGCAGCACTTATAGGAGATAGGTATAAAAGTAAAACTTTTTATTAGCTCAAGCTGCTTTTCAATTTCGAATTGTTGCTGGTCATACATTTGTCGGAAATCAAGGAGCTGGTCTTCAAATTATGAATCCGTTACAAGTTGAAATTATTGACATCAATGGTAATAGAGTTACTTCAGGACCTGACTCAAACTTGGTAAGTAAAACTTCAAGGTACGAGTAAAGGATTTGTCATCACTCAATAATAAAATTTTATATAGTTGTATAGTTATGTAAAATAAAGACTTTTTTTTTTGTATTTATGACTATATATATATATATATATATATATATATATATATATATATATATATATATATATATATATATATATATATATATATATATATACATATATATATATATATATTTATATATATATATATATATATATATATATATATATATATATATATATATATATATATTTCAAAAAAAAAATTCATTAGGGACTAAGTATTCACATTCCGTTTATTCTTTTATTTTCATATTCTGCCTGTCAATTTTCTTGGAATGGCTTGAAGTTATTTAAAGACACTCAAAAACAAAGACATTTGCATTGTATTCCCCTAAAATAACTTAAAGTAAAAAGTAAAAAAGAAATAGACCGTTACTTGATAAGATAAAAAAGAGTTGAAATAAAATGTCTTTATTTTTTTGTGCCCAAATCAAGGTTTCAGCATTATTATTAGATAGAAAATGAGGTGAATAGCTTATTACATTTCCACCAGTTGAGTTGACTCGTTCAGAAGAACAACTTGTTGCTTGTACAGCTAATACAGATTGAGCCGCATGCGAAAGAACAGGGAAAATATTTTCTTTTTTTTCTTCCGGTATTCAAGTGGGCAGTTATCACTATTTATGGTTTGCAAACAACTGTAGATACCCATTTCCGTAACAACGCAATTTTCAATGTGTCTTTTTGCAGAATTTAGTGGTAAAAGATTATGTATTTTAGATTCTTTTTTCTTAACTTGTTTAAATACATTGTCAAGTAAATTTTTAGATAAGTTTTCAACTTTTTCTTCATTGATAGAATTTACGCTCTTCATTGATAGAATTTACGCTCTTCATTGATAGAATTTACGCTCGGTAAGGAGTGTGACATTTTCTAAATGAAAGCGTGCATATAGTTGTGAAAGTAACTCTTTTTTAAAACTGCTCATAAAGCTATAACTTAATGAATCTAATTGAACTTTTAAAGTATAAATGCAAAGTTTAACTAAATTGATAGCCACAGTAGTATTAGAACTAAGTAGCGTTTTTTACTTGACCAATTCAGAAGTTAAATGTACTGTTAAACCTAGTAACAACATCAAGTGGTGGACATGGTTTTGGAATTCCTTTTTCAAGTTGATATTTCTTTAAACATTTTAGACCTACAGAAGAACTGTTGAAAAAACCTGCAATTTTGTGTACCAAACTAATAAAGTTTTTAACTTGTTGTTGAATATTTAAAGCACCATTAATGCATAGTTGAAGAAATATGCAGCACATAGCTGCCATGTAATTCCTAAAAGACTAGCAGTGGCAGGCATTGTGTTTGTCGTGTCTGTGGTTGCACATAAAACGTTGTCTATTTCAATATTTGAACTTTGCAGTTGATTTATAATAACCTCTTTTGCTTTTTGAGATGTATGATCTGCATCAATATTTTCAAGATTTACCACAGATAAACAACGCAAGCTTATATCTCTAACAGAATGGAAGCTAAAAGCTTCCATTCTGTTAGAGATATATAATGAACCATTAAAACTAAATAGTTGCTATTATTTGCAGCTTTCCAATGATCAAAGGTAATGGAAAATTTACAACCTGACATTTCTGCAAGTACTACTGTTTTAAATTTGTAACATTGTTTTTAAGTCATTTATCTTACGTGAAAGCGTTGATGGATAAGGAGGTTTATAATTTTTATTAGTAAGAGTCAAACACAATTTTATAAAACCCTTACCAGCCAAAGTCTCTAAAGAACGTCCATCTGCAACAATAAATTCCAATACAGCTTGGTCTATCTAAATTGCATGTTAAGTATGTTTGAAATATCGGTTTTATTAGTAATACTTTGTCTTGTAGCATTATCTAATATTGTTGATATATCATTTTTGACCATTTTTTTTCTGTTAAAGTATGCATACAGGGATTTTGGATTCATATTGTTGGTAGCAAGTGAATGTTCAAATGTTCGAATGCATATCTTTGTTTGTATTTTAAGGGCTCTTTTTGTAGTGGTATCTTCTTTGTAGTGAAATATTCTTTGTAAAGCAAGTGGCATTTTCTACCTGATGATTTGTAATGGTGCCAGAGTTTGTTTTTATATTTAACTTTGCAGAGAAGGTTGTTGTTCATCCATGGATGTCTTTTTTTATTGATTTGATAGAATTTTTTACTTATAAAGAAATCACATAGTTTTTTATATTGGTCTAAGAATGTTGACTAGCATTGATGGATAGACTTATTGGAAAATAAATATTTCCAATCAACAGTTTAGATGGATTCAGACACATGGTTTTTTTTACCTCACTCATAATTATAATTATGACTGGATATTTTGTATTATCTATCATTTGATAGGTTATAGTTCCAAGAAATAATTGTGCATCTTTGCTTTGTTGAGCCAAGTAGAGAAGAGTTGGTTGTATCACTGATTCTCTCAGAAGATTCAGATATTATATAATCTAAAGTGTTATTAAATGAGGTATTAGTGTTTAGAAAAGTTGGAAAAGTAATTGCTTGTGAAAATGCTTCATCATTAGGCATGTCAATAAATGTTTTGCTTGCACTAGCTTCGCTACTATTTATCCATGCAGAATTGTCATTAAACCATTTGACATAAGAGAAATTTTAGCTCTGAGATTAAAAAATACTTCAGATTTGCTCTTAGGTAGTGGTGTAGTGGTAAAACACTTGCTTCATAAGCGAGAGGTTCCGAGTTCCATCCTACCGCGTCCCTGGTAGTACTGTGTTCAACTTGTTTTTCTGCGCAGCGGCCTTGTTCATCAAGGTTCGTTTTTCAGAATTATAGAGTTGAGAGAGGGTTATAATCACTATTAAGTAGCCTCCTCATCTGCAGTGGCCTTCTCAGCCTTTAGGAGGTGAATAACAAAAAAAAAAATTTAACAATAACATATTGTGGTATAAATTGCTTATATTTGACATTGCCTGTAAGCATGACAAATGCAGAAAAATCTTTTAATAAATTGAAAATAACTTGAGACATATATGAAAAATGATGATTCAAAAAGTGTGTCTACACTAAGCTTAATAGCTTTTAACACAGAAGCAATTCAAATAATTTGTAATACCTATAAGCAATTATAAAAAATTACATTAGGTTTTCAACATAATGTAGGCAAGTCAAAGATTAGTTGCCTTTTTCTGTTTATTTACTTTATCTGCTCTTTAGCCCTGTTGATATATTTTTTTTGAATGGCAAAATGTAGTTTTTCTACAAAATGTAGAAAATTATAAATTTGGATAAAATATGTCATGCATCATTAAAAACTTTAATAGAGTCCAACCTGGGCCTCCGAAAAAAAACATAAACTGTTTGTATTATGGTGTTAAAAATGTTATTGCTTATTTGTTAAAATAAAACAACAGAGTAAATTATGGAGTAAAAAAGAAAATCAGGGGCCTGTAAAACACCAAAAAGTGTCCAAATGTGAATTGACAGGTAATTATTAAATAAATCAGTTTAAAAGGCATTTTAAATTGACTTAATTTTTGAACTTTTTGTTATCAACAAACATAAATCAAAAATTTGACAGAACTATTTAACTAGGATTAAAATATTTTTTTACTCTATTTAGTTCAATATCACAAATAGAGACAGTTAAATAATCAATAAATTTTTTTTGAGTTTTTTTTTTAAGTTTTTCAATTATATTTGATTTTAGACTGTAACAACTTTATCTGATGTTCCTAATACTTGCATTTCTTCAGACAGTACTTTCCTCCTCAAAAGAGGAATTGGTACGTTTTCTGGATCTATTTGCGGTTCTATACTTTCAACATCATTAAAGTTTCAAGTTTCTTCATCCATTGGTACTCTTACTACCAATTCAACTGCGCCATTTTTAGTTCTCGGTAAATATTTTTTTGAAAATTTAGACTAGAACATATTTTTTTATATAGAAAATATATAGTATAATATGTATTATTTTTTAATTTTTGTATGAAGCATCCAAGCTAATATCATTCTAGAAACTTTTTTATTAAGACAGCTGTAAACTATAATTTTTGAGGATTTTTAATACAGAGTATGTTAAAACTTACTTTTCTGAACAAATGTTTATCCGCTCTCATAATACACACCGTGCAAAATTAACCTTGGCGCTCAGCATATGCCAAGATTTTTTGCAAAGGGCTTTGTAATATTTTGATAACTTGCCACAACAAAAAAGTACTGAGGCAAAAATAATTACCATATTTTGATTTTTTGTCAATAATTTTAGATTATTTTTTTAAAAAAAGTGTTTTTCATTATAGTATATACTTATATTATAATTAAGCAGCCTTGGCACATTGATTACGCTTGGATTTAATAAGAAATGGTCTTGAGTTCCATTCCTGGATAATTTATAGAGTCAGAATAATTCATAGTTCCATAAACAATTTTTTTCATAATTAACTTTTACATTTTTATGCTATGATATTCATACCAATCAAAAAGATGTCTCATTTAACATTTAACAGGTGAACCTAAATAACAAATAGCATTTGATAAATAATGTTAATCTAATTTTTTATGTTTTTATATTTGTCTCCACTTTTGTTGCAATTAACTAGCATTATTTGAAATAGGGAACAAACAATGATTTTTTCGTGTAGCAAAATGTGTTGAATATTTAATTGAAATTTTATTATTTAAGTATAAATTAAATATTTAATTGTTTACCTTTTATCATATAAAAATTTGAGATAATTTATGTTTAATATACAAGTTTGTACATTTTAGTTAACAGTTTACTTTTTTTATATTTGTTTAACATAATTAAATGTTTTTCAAATAAATTTATCTTTGTAATTACGTTTCATTAGAAAAAACATAATGGCTGAGTGAAATAAAATCTATTTCATAGTAAATGCGGTAGTGGTGTAGTGGTAAAGCGCTCGCTTCATAAGCGAGAAGTTCCGAGTTCGATCCCCACCACGTCCCTGGTAGTACCGCGCTCAACTTGTTTCTCCGCGCAGTGGCCTTGTTCATCAAGGTTTGTGTTTTGGAGTTATAGAGTTGAGAGAGGGTTATAACCACAATTAAGTAGCCTCCTCATCTGTAGTGGCCTTTTCGGCCTTGGGGAAAAAGAAAAAAAATCTATTTGAAACAAGTTTTAATCACTATATTTGTAAAACTAAAGAAAGTTTTTAACAAGAAACTCATGTAAAACTTTAAAAAGTGTTTTTTAAGTCAGTTTATATATTCTTAAAAAATTTATAAATTGACACAAAAACATTCAATTTAATAATCCCATTAAAGTTCACATGTTTTAATAAGAAACTTGTTTATAAGAAACTTGAGCCTAAAGCTAAAAAATCATACAAAACTATTTGTACTAAGTTACTTTTTTCATAACAATATTATATCAGAGAAAGAAATTGTTAAAAAAGTTTTAGCTTGCACATTTTGTTGTGAAAAAAAATCTATCATTTAAAATGTTGAATCAGTTTGGCAAGTTTGAAAAAACAATCACAATGTAGATACAGGGAACGCTTATGTAAGTGATAAAATCTAATAAAATCATTTCTAAAATCAAATATAATATTGTATAATAAAAACCATTCTCAAATTAGACTCGGTATGGATATAAAGCTTTTATATACATATATATATATATATACATCCATACCAAGTCTAAAAAACGAAAAAACAAAAAAGAATAAGAAATATAATCTGGTTTAACCCACCATACAATAAAAGCGTTCTGACAAATGTAGGCAAAACTTTATTACAACTAATCAACAAATACTTTCAAAAACCAAATCCGCTTCATTAACTGTTTAGCCACAACGCAATAAAAGTCAGTTACAGCTGCACAAACAAAATAGCAAAAATTATAAAGAATCACAACAATTAAATTATTCCGATGAACCCAACTTTTGCTGAAAATTTGAAGTGCATATGTGTTTGTGTGTATAGCCTAAGCTAAAACTAAATGCCTAAAATTTCTAATAAATTTATTTTTATTTAAATATAAAAAGATTATATTTTGCATTGAATTTTTACTGTTTATACTTTAGCACTATACTTTATATTGTAGTTATTGTTAAAGGTTATTTTATTAATTCATCATTCCAAACTAACTTTAGATACTTGGAATTGGTATGCTGCAACTGGAACAAGTCAAGAAGATTCAGTTTTGTTAAGTTTGAATTATTATCTATCAAACACATACTGGCTGGGTAAATAAAATATTAAAAATTTAATTTTATTTTTTCATTATGAGTCTGTGTCAGATAGATGAAAGTTTAGATTTGCTATACAGACTCAAATTTCTTTAAATTTGCTCAACTTATCTTCTTAAATATCCTAAATATTCTATTCAATTTTTTTCAGATTTTTTTTTCTACTTTTAGTATTTTTTATAAGATTAATTATAACTTTTACTAAAGTTATTTAAAATTCACCAAATTTTCACCAAATTTATCATTATCTCTGATGTTGCTGATAGCAGAGAAAAATGTTGCTGAAAAGTCATAATGAGCTTTTTTATGTCATTATGAAATATTTTTATAAAAATGTTATAATGAGCTGTTTTTTGAAAATAGGTCAGTATTGATATCAATCAATTAAAACATTGTCTAATTAAAAAAATAATAATTTCCATGAATTTATAAATTTACATTTTGAATTCTATATTGTGAGGTGTTTACCTCATAATGAACAAATGAATATCATAACATGAACAATATAACAAATAAACAAATGAATATCACAAAACGGACAATAAAACGAATGTATAACACTTGTGCAGTAGCTGACCAAACAATATTCTCTATAAATTTTTTTCTCATACTTCTTCTCTGGACTCACCCTCTCATAGCACTACCTATTATGATCTTAAAGCTGACTGAGATTCTTTTTGTGATTTTTTTCATGATCTGATGTCTTTCATCTCTCTACTGATAAATGCGCCTCCTACATAACCTCTATAAAATTTATTCTTTCTTGTTGGTTTTAAGTCAAGCCTCATTTTATTTCATGGTTTTCATCTTCTTGTGCAGCTGCTTTTTTCAATCCCTATCGTTTTTTTCATCCTTTTTGCAAGAACAACTCTTAAGAATGCATAAAAAATTTCTAAATTTTGTTTCTTCTCTTACAAGTTAGACTCTATAGACTTTTAGAAAATCTTCAACGGTGTCATTAACAATGGTAAGTCTAACACTCCATTTTTTATTCATGGATTTATTACCTCTCCCAAGGATAATACAGAACTATTTGCAAAAAACTATTTTTCTAATTCCAATCTTGAATCTAACAGTCATACTCTTCCTGTCATTCCAGTTAAACAGGTTAACCCATCTTTAGATATCCAAATCACTTAAGTTTCTGTTTCTAAAGTAATTTCTCATATAAACACTTCTATGATCTGTGATTCTAATAACATCCCTGTTATAGTCTTTCAAAGTTTTTCTCCAGAACTCTCTTCAATTCTTTCGAAACTATTTAATAAGTGCTTGAAAAACTCTAATGAATATTCCGACCCTTCCTAATATCATCTGATCAGTCTTATACCTATAATTAGCAAGCTCTTTGAATCAAAAATTTTTATCATTTGGTCTTGAGTCTAATAACTTACTCTCTGACAATCAATATAGTTTTTGGTTTTCTTGTTCTACAGATGACTTTCTAACTGCTTTAACTGAAAGGATCTATTGTGTATTAAATGAGGGAGGAGAGAAAAGGCTATTGGTCTTGACATATCAAAAGCTTTTGATAAAATTTGGCATGCTGGTCTTCTTTATAAGTTTGGTTTATATAGTGTTTATCTCTTCTGTAACAGCTTTGGACCGGCAGTGGCAAGCAAATTTATCTCCAACAAAGCTCAGTTATTTACTGCAAACAATTAATATTATTACAATAATATTCAATATATATAAACTCTTACTGATAATTTTTTTTCTACTCTTAAAAGCTCTTAAAGTTTGAGATTTTTATCATTAGAAATGCATGTTATGCATGTATCATTAAAAACAATTGAATGATTCAAAAATTTTAGTAATCGTATTTTTTCCAAATTATTATTTTCTATTCTACAGCCTTTAGATATTGCATTATTTATTATGCAAACAGATATTATGATGTTAAATATCAACACAATGAAGTGGTTTTAGTAATAAAAGTTCAGATATAAAATGTATAAAAAAGAGTAAAATGGTTAGGTTTTTTTTTTAAATGTTATTCACCTCCTCAAGACTGAGGTAGCCACTATTCGCTATATCAAGTATCTATACAAAATGCTACTATTTTTTAATTTTTTTTATTTCATTATGGTTACAACCTTCTTTTAACTCATTAACTCTTAAACACAAAAATTTTATATTCAATTAAAGAAATGTAAAAAACTTTTTTAATTTGAATATTTTATTTAATTAGTTTTTAATTTCCAGTTGAGCCAGGTACTACCAGGGACATGGTGGAGAATAAACACTAAACTTCTTGCTTTTGAAGCAAGCACTCTACCAATAAACCAATATTGTATGTTTTAACAAAGGAAGTTAAAAAGTGGTCACTTGACTTGGGTTAACTTTATTTTGTTAGAAGTTGTAAGGTGCTTAAAGAAGGCAAAAAAAATTTCAAAAATAAAAATAAAAAAAATTCATGGAAATTACAAATTTAAAACAAAAATTTAAGGTTGCATTAAATTTAATGGTTGAATCAACAATGTTTTTTGAAAATGCTGTATGTATAAGAAATGTTATTTGTACTAATAAATGTAAAAATTATTTAAAGTGCATGATTTATTTCACAGTTTAATTGTAAGTTTTACATAAATTAAATTTAATACATAAAATTTAAAAATTTAGTATAAAGAAAAAAGATTTTTATTATATATGTATATTTTTTCCATTTTCTGATAATGAGGCAACACTCTAGTCTCAAAATGAGGCAACACTCTAGTCTCAAAATGAGGCAACACTCTAGTCTCAAAATGAGGCAACACTCTAGTCTAGTATTACTAACTGAGTTATTTATATTGAATGCATTTCAAAAAGGTTTTTTAAAAATTTATGTAAGATTCCCTAAAAAACAATTATTTTTATTTTCTTACACTATTTCTTTTTTTCTTCTTTAAAACACTTTAGTTTGTTAACCTTTTACTCAAAAAACTAATTAGGATTTCAAAGTAAATAAGTTATGATGTTTAATATTACACCTTTGTCCTCAATGTAATCCCTTTAATAATTTTTATGACAATCTAAAGTCAGGAAAATATACTTTTATACTGGCTGCTTGCAGTTGTGCTTGAATGATGTCTAAATTTTTTAAGTTTGTTGTATATTAAAAATAAGAATCATAACTGGAAAGATATCATTTCTTTGAACTTTATTTAAAATTTTAGTACAATTTAAATAATTGACAATTTAAATTTAATATTGATACATTTTTTAATTACATCACAGATATATGATTACTTTAGGTTCAAGAACTCCTAATGTTTTTGAACATTACACAGTTAAAGCTTTAATCAACGCATTAAAGGCATCAAAGGTAAGTTTGCTTTAGTTGCTTTTTGTTGTAGAAAATTTTCAAATTTGACATTTCTCATAATTTTACTCTAATATTTCATCTCTCTGTATTCTGAGTACATTTTTAAATACAAAATTTATTTACTTAATGAAGTTATTCCTGAAAATTAAATCTTAACATTTTTTTTATTTAATTCTCAAGAGATATGCTAGTGTCATAAAAATAAAACTTCACACTTCATTACACTTTAATTAACATTACAAAAGTTTTTGTTCTTATTTCTAAGTTTATTTAGTCAAATATTTGTTTAAGCAAAAATTTTTTTACATTATAAGTTAAATACAGCAGATAGACTTGTTGCAATGATTGGACCAAGTGATGATGCATTAACAGATGCTTATGCTGCAATCGCTGGAGCTAATGATTACATCATGGTCAGCTATACCAACACTAAATCAATATATTCAGACTCTGTAAGTTTTATTTTAAATAAGAAAAAAAAGATTTTTAAAAACTTCATATAATCATAATGTAACTTCATATAATCATAATGTTTAAAAACTTCATATAATCATAATGTAACATTCCAGATAGTACATACATGTGTTGCTTTCTAACATTGGTATAACTCAATATTTAATAGTTTTAATTCAATCTTTGGTTAGTTAAAAAAGCTTTGCTTTTGACTTAAAAAACATGTGCAATCATGTGCTACTTTTTTTTAGTAATTTTAATTAAATTTATTGTTTTAAATTTTTTACTCCAACTTAGTTTAAATAATCTTAATTACTGATTGAAGAATATGAAATTGATGTTAATTAAAAAATCAGTTTTAACTTGATAATAACACAGAGTAAAATCAAAACTTGTCAAAATTATCATAATTATTTTAAAATATTTGTACAAACTCTAGACACACTCAAAATTATAATGATCTTTTTGTCTTTATAGTCATTTTTCTTACAAAACTTACACCTTAAAAAAGAAACTCTAATGTTTGAATAATATAATACATCATACAATTATATAAAATTTTTTGAACTTGTATCTTTAGTTTAATGAGCTTTAGGCAATGACATGACTACTGTAAAAATTAAAATGTTTGAATATAAATATGTATATACAACCTCCAAATTAAGAAAAATAAGGTCAGCAATAATTTACCGTCCTTAATCTTTTAGAGGTCGGCATCAGGTCGCAAAAAAAATCTGATACAAAGGTCTTACCTTAAATCATAGAAACTAGGTATATATATATATATATATATATACTATATATATATATATATATATATATATATATATATATATATATATATATATATATATATATATATATATATATATAATATATATATATATATATATATATATATATATATATATATATATATATATATATATATATATATATATATATATATATGTATATATATATGTATATATATATGTATATATATATGTATATATATATGTATATATATATATATATATATATATATATATATATATATATATATATATATATATATATATATATATATATATATACATACATAAATATATGATAAAAATAGCATAAAAAAAAGTAAAAAAAAAACAATAGAACGGGAACAAAAATAATCTGTCCCTGAAAATAGTTATCTAGTATGCTATATATATACATATATATATATATATATATATATATATATATATATATATATATATATACAGTTTATTTTAATAAACACATTATTACGCTTTAAATTAGCTGCAATTAGGAAAAAAATAAAATGGTTTTTGAAAATGTTATTACACAAAAAGTACACTTTGTGAAAAAAAAGGTTTGCCCCTTATTGTGAGGCACAACCGCACCCTCACAAAAATCGTTGAAGTTACACTTTTCATGTTACATTTTTATAAATAATATAATTATCATCAGATATACATAAATACAACAAGATATCGATTTATACTCTTGTGCGCTTATGAGGTTCTGCCCCAGAAGAGTGTTTTTATAAAGAATACAGTTTCATAGCTTGCTTATTAGGTTATGTTGATATCAAAAAGAGCTTTCACCTGATGAAATAACGCTGATAACACATATAATCAAATATTGCTTAATCCTCAAAAGAAAGGTCTGAAAAAATTTGATGTAAATATAATATTTTTATCAAAATAAACATTATGCATAACTTTTCAGAAACACATCAGGCACTCTTTTTGACATAAGCAATATGAAGAAAACTGTTTTACCAACTCATGGTATGTTTTTTGCCATATTAGATAACATTTTACTAAGGGAAATGTTAAAATACAGTTGTACCTCTATGCGGTTATGCCCCCCCCCCATTTTCATTATATATATATATATATATATATATAATATATATATGTATTATATATATATCATATATATATATATATATCATATATATGTAAGTATTTATATCTCTTATATATATATATATATATATATATATATATATATATATATATATATATATATATATATATATCTCATATATATGTAAGTATTTATATCTCATATATATATATATATATATATATATATATATATATATATATATATATATATATATATATATATATATATATATATATATATATATATATATATATATATATTTATATAACTCTCGTTCATTCTATTACTCAATATGAAAAATCTAAATCAGAATATAATAAGGCAAATCTGAAACTTTTCTATTGATATGTAAATTTAAAACTTAAAATTCAAATTCAAATAAGATCTATAAAAAAAATCAAATGGTAACATTACAACTGATCAAAGTAATATAGCTACATTCCTTAAAAATTTCTTTTTTTTTGTTTTACTCCTTTAAGTCAATTAAAGTCCTTTAAGTCACTGCCAGCATTCAAGAAGCACATATTTTCTGTGATTGATGAAATGTCTTGATTAAACTGAACATGCATAAAAAAGCAAGCATAGATAGCATTTCCCATCACCTCCTTTACAAATGTTTTTTATCTCTGTGCCTATTACTTAAATATTTATAAAATCTATTTGTGAAGGTTTAGTCAGAGTCATATGGCTAGAATTTAACATCACATATTTTCACAAAAAGGGATCCAAACTTGATGCATTAAACTACAGACCCATTGCTTTAACTTCTGTCTGTTGAAATTCTTTGAGCACATTGTTAAAGATTGTTCGACTGATCTCCCTGCTAATAATCTTTTATCTCAAAATCAGCATGAATTTGTTTCAAATAAATCATGCATTATTAATTTATTGTTAACTGTAGATCAGATCTCATATTCAATTGCAAGAGGTTGTAGTGTAGATGGTTTATATCTAGATTATAATAAAGCATTTGACACACCTCATGATTTTATGCTTCACAAACTTTTTGATTATGGTGTATTATATATGCTACTTAATTGGATAAAGAACATCTTTCTAACAGAACACAATGAGTTGTCATGGGTTCCGCTATGTAAGATTGGTTACTAGTCACAAGTGGTGCTCCACAAAAATTTGTTATAGGATGTCTTTTATTTGTCCTAAACATCAATAACATTGCAGATCTAGTTATTAATCTAATAAAATTATAGGATGAGACAACAACGTTATTTCTACAAACTCAACCCCAGATAATTCAATTACACTCCAAAATGATATTAATTAAATCAGGTGTTGGACTAAAACCTGGCACTTGTTCTTAACTACAAAATGTGCCCTATCTTACACTTCAATAAAAGCTAAAATCCTAACCACCAATACTATATCTTGACTCAACAAGGGATGCAGCTTTTCGATTTTTTTTACAGTAAAGAAGATCTTGGCATTTGCATTTTACACAATCTTAAATGGGACATGCATGTCCAAATAATATCATCAAAAGCACCCTGTCCTTGGTCAACTAAAAAATCTTTTATATATAAAAATATACAAATCTGGAAAAGACTTAACACATTGCTGGTCAGACTCATCTTGAGTATGCTGCTCCTGTATGTAATACTTTTTAAATAACACAACATTAAAAAATTGAAAAACTTAAAAAAAATCTTTGACCATTATTCAGCAAAGCCAGATTATCACATCTTCATCTCACCTCACTAAATCAAAGACGTGATCAAAGTGATTTAATCTACAATTTTAAGTTTATTAACTGCTTAAACATGGAGATAAAATCTTATTAAAAAAAAATAAATCACTTCACTTGTTGATATTGCATTCTTTTTTTTTTTTTAAATTACTTTTAAAATTTTAATCAATATGTTTTTTTTATATTTTAAAATTTTGTTATAAAAATCCATATTGACCCATTGACTCTATATACCATGTAAATTTATATTGAAAGTAGTTAACTCATTTCTGAAAAACAGATTCTTGAAAAGCACTTTCAATAAGAATGTGGTAAAGTGGTAAAGTGCTTGCTTTTTAAGTGAGTGGTATGAAGTTAAAAAAACTTGAAAGCATTGTGTTCAACTTTTTTCTTTTTGCAATGGCCTTTTTATAGTTATTATGATTTTTTACTGACTCTTTTTTAAAAATACCTTTAGTAAAGGAAAAGAATAAAAGAAAAAAAAATATTTGTTTGACTTAACCTTTTATTTTTTATGAATTTTCTTTGTTGACATTTGTATCATAAATATTATAATAACTTTTTAGACACGTTATCCTCATTTTATGCGCGTCACATTTACTGACAGTTATAGGTTTTTATTAATTGCCAATGCATTAGCAAACAGGAATTGGAAAAAAATTGTAAGTTTCTTTTTTTATTAAGTACTTTTAAGAAAAAAATTTATGCAATTTTCACCTATATATTTATTAGTAACGTAAATTTGATATTGTTGTAAATTATTTTATATATTTTTTTACTTGAGGCTGTTGCAACAGTTATAAACATTCCTTTGCCTGAAGAGTTTCTTGTTCACACAACATTTTTCAAAATTTTATATGATGTAGTAAGTTATTGCATATGTTTAAATTTTAATTTTTAGAAGATAATAAATTCATAGCAAATAAGATAAAAACTGGATCAACTCATACTTTTTGTTGACTAAGAGAGTTTATGAAATGTTAAAAAATAAATAAAAAGTTGAATTTAAGAATTCTCTCTACCTTTAAGAGAATTATAGAAATAAACTTAATTTTTTTTTTTTAGTGGTATTTTGTTTGGCTTTGTTTTGAAATTTTATTTTTATGACAACCTAATCAAAAAATTAAAAGTATTTGATTAGGTTATTATGTTGATTGGGTTGTAAGGTTGTTTTATTTTTTATAGCTCAATGGCAGTTTGATCAGGTGAAATAAATTTTAATTACAAATTTATATTTATTTTTAGGTTTATTTTCCAATATATATCAATAAAGAAAGCATGGACATCTTTTTCAATGATTTAATCGCAACTAAAACAAGAATCTTCTTTAGTTTTTTGAGTGGTGATTATTTGAAAGCAATGGTTGCGCAAGTAGCCTTGTAAGTTTTTTGTGAATTAAACATTTCATAGATTTTTATGCACATATGGGCCATTCCAGGAATAAATCCTGTTTAAACAATTAAATAACTCCTATTAGGCCACTAATAAAAAGTTGGTTGAGCACTCTTCTGTGTTGACTTCTAACAATGGAAAAATTTAGCTTTAACTACTTGTTGAAAAATATTCCAATACAAAACAAAACTAGTTACAAATTAAGATTAATTGAAAAAATAGAAAGTTTTATTAAAAGAATATGCTGGAATACATTTTTCAATATGAACTAAACTGGAGCCAACTGAACAAAAGAAAACGTTGGTTTTAAAAAACAAAAAATCCATCAGCACAATGTAAGGAACTTGAAAACTTTCAGATAGAACTCTTTAATTTGGTGAAATCAATAAAGTTTAATAAAATGCTGCTAATTCCAAAATTAAAACTAACATTTACCAACTATTATCTGAAGATCACACCAAACTTATAAAAGAAAACATAGCAAAACTTACAAAAAAGACTCTCAAAAAACTTAAAAATTCTATAAACCTTAAAAAATCTGCAAAAAAACCATGCAAAACCTGCAAAAAACATAACAATTAAGTTAAAAATAAACAAACAAATCAACATAATTGTTAAATCAGAAAATAGTTGTAAAATCACAAAAATAATTACCAAAATCAAAGACCTTGCCACTTATTAAATGCAGAAAGTGAAATCAAAAGAAAGTGAATAGTTTAAAGAAACACTCTCAAATTTTTTCCCAGACTCCAATCATCACATTTTTTTGCAAAGGAATCTTTGTTTGACATGAATATATACATAAATGTTTGGAATCAAAAAATGTTGGATTCGCCCAACATTTTTTGATGTATAGACTTTGATGTTTTGATGATTTGATGTGTGTGTGTATATATATATATATATATATATATATATATATATATATATATATATATATATATATATATATATATACATATATATATTTATATATATCAGAGCTGAAGACTCGAGTCAACTGACTCGAACTTAAGTCCGACTTAAGTGACTCGACTCGAGACTCAACTTGGGTTTTACCCTGAGACTTGCGACTTGACTCGAGACTTGGTAATTTTGCCTTAGCGACTTTAAAATTAATATTTTCCGTCTCTTCAAAAATGGAGCAATTTATCTTCTATTTTAATTCAACTGTTTTTTAACTATTTTTTATTTTCAAATGTTTTTATTTTAACTTAAGTTTAATTGGTTGTAGTATAAGCAAGATCCGAAGAAAAATATCGCATTTAGGCTCTTTCGTTTTCAAAAAATTCCAACTTTTTTGTGTGCGTTCTGATTGGTTCATTTTTTCTTTAACTCATGAAATTTATTGTTTATAAATGTTCGGTGATTTTAATTTCTTATTTAAATTTTTTTTAATTCTTTCTTTTTCTTCCCTTAACAATCTTCATTTTTCTCTTATTTATTTTTACTTTCAAAATTATCAGTTAGTGTTTTTAAAATGTAACAGGGATATATTACTATAATTTTTTATGAAAATCAGCAGTATATATATATATACATATAGGCTTGGTCAGGAAGGCGTGCGATTTCACGGCTTTATATAACCACGCAAATAATATATTGTTTTGACAATTTAACCACAGTTTTAACATTTTAATAAAGCGCTAAAAACTTAATTTATAAAGAAACTAAATAAACAAACTTATTTTAAAAAAAGAAATAAAATCTTCTTAAAAAAACAATGAAAAATAGAATTAAAATAGCTTAGTAATAAATAACTAAAACAAAAATAAAAAAAATAAAAACAAAACTTGACTAAAATAAATAAAAAACAATACGATAATTACGTTTCAAATAAATAACTTTGAATCTTTACTAATGTTTTTATAATGTAAAACTAGTAGTGTCCCATCTGCTTCGTTACCGCACCATATAAAATTATATCAATAGTAAAAAAATTAATAAAAAATACAAATCAACAAAAAAAAGTAAATAAACACTATTGTTTTTATAAAAAACTTTTAAACTAAGTAACAACTTCCAACGATTTTTTAATAAATACGCACATTTAAAAGATAACAACAACAAAAAAACTTTACAATTATTCGTAGTAAATATAAACAAAAGAAAAATAATTAAATCTTTTTTTTTGTCAGAAATCCAATATTAGAAAGCAAATGAGAAAAAGTGAAGATGAAAACGAAAAATAATGAACAAAACTATTCCTTTAATTCATAATTTGATTTAATTTGTTAATAATTTAATTTTTTATTCATTTAAAGGCTAAAGAAAAAAAATCATTACAAATATAAAAATAAAATTATATTTATATATATTTTTTAACTTGCATCCATGCAAAAAAAATTTGTTATTTTCGAGTATATTAACTTTAATCAATAATTTTTTTATTTAAAGATGAAAGAAAATTACATTTAATACTTTAACGTAAAAAAAACATTAGCAGTGAGTTGTTCCTTTATTTAAAAGTGTTTAAATAATATAAAAATATTAGAAAGTTTAATTCAAACGACTGTGTTTAATTCAAAAGTTTGTCCTTCTTTCTTCTCAATAAAATTTTTTTAGAGTTTATTAACTTTAATGTTTCTTAAATAAAGTATATTAAAGAGACAATTGTTGTTTAAGTTGTCGTTGTTAAAGTTGTTGCTTATAAAATATAAATAATTAAAAAATAAATAAGATTATTTATAAAAAATCTTTAGTTATTTTATTTAGTAAATATATAATCTTGTATATATTTAAATGATATAAATAAAAATTTATACAACTTTAAATTAAAATGTTAACAGTAACTGTTACTTTATTTAAAAGCATTTCGCTAATACAAAAACGTAAGTAAAGATAAAAGTTTCAGAGTTTATTTTTGACATAATTAAAAGTAATTTTTTTCAGCACATTTTTCTATGTTAAAAACTGTGGTCAAATCGTCAAAATAAAGTATTATTTGCATGGTCATATGCCTACACCATGAATATGTTTGTTTAAAATGTTACTCCACAATCCACATAACTTGCTGTGATCCTTTTAATTCACACAATGGAAAAACAAGAAAAGGTATTATTACTTAACCATGAAACTTTTTTTAAACTTTATTCTAATTATTTATAAATTATATATATTTTTGCAAAATACTCACTGAAGCAATAGTTATCACTCATGTTTTTAGGAGGATGTAAAGAAGTTAATACGCAACTTGTTGGGAAATTAAAAAATATTGGTATTAATGTTATTCCTGGATATGTCCCTAATGTATGATTAAATTGATGTCATTTAAGGATGATGGACAAAGAGAACCGTCTTGTAGCCAGATTTATGAATATGAAGATAATGAACTTAATATAAATGAATTGTTAAAAAAAAAATATTTTTTTATTAACAATTATATTCATAGTTGTCAAAAAATTCTTCTTTGACAACTATGAATATAAGACCTCTCAAAATGCATGCTGTAAATAGTCACTCAAGAGTTGCTCTTGACAAAAAAAAAATTGCTACATGTTCAAAAAACAGTAAAGTTAGGTATTGCAAGGACTTTAATTATAGATCCTGAACAGTTAAGCCAAGAAGATTCATTCAATAGATTAGCTAAGGAAGTTAAAGGTAAAGCAAATGACATGGATATACTTATTAGAAAAATCAAAGAAAAAATGTTAATTTTTAATCGTAATCAGAAAATTCAAATACTAACTCTGGTTCAAATTTTTTATGGTCTCACAAAGATATAGAAAAAGAGTTTAATGTTACTAATTATATGGTGCAGATATCGCACAACTTGGTACAGAAAAATGGTATTTTATTTTTTCCTGAAAAAAAAAAAACGGAAAGAAAATACCTCACGAAACAGTAGATAAAATTATTGAATTTTATTGTAATGATGAAAATAGGCTAATATCTGATAAAAAAGATTTTGTTAGTATAGCTTGAAGATCTCACACGCAAAAGCGTTTGATTCTCTCAAATCTTAAAAAGCTGTATGCAAAGTTTAAAACTTGTTATTCAGATATAAAGTGCTGTTTTTCTAACTTTTGCTCACATTGTCCAAAATGGTGCATTACAGTTGGAGCATCTGGCATGCATACAGTATGTGTATGCGTGCCAGATGCTTTAACTGTAACGTTAAGTTAATGATTAGTGCAGTTAAATTATCAAAGGATTATCACAAGCTTATCGATATACTAGTTTCTAGTAGGGAAAACAAGACTTGCATGATACATCGTTGCCCTTTGTGCCCAGAAGATTCTACATTAGTACATTTTCTTGAAAATGAGTTGTACTCTCAAGACAATATTGATGAAGATGATGACTATTGTATAGATTACATACAATGGAAAACAGACCGATCTGAGCTATTAAGTCTAACAGAAACGACAAGTAGCTTTATTAATACTTTGAAAAATAAGTTGCAAAAACTTACTGTTCATTCTTACATTGCAAAAATCAAGCTGCTTCTTTAAGAAAGTTAAAAAATAAGTTAAGTACTGAGGTCATTTTTCTTTTTGATTTCTCAGAAAATTAGGAGTTTGTTGTACAAGAGGAAATACAAAGTTTTCACTGGAACAAAATTCAAGCAACATTGCATCCAACAGTAATTTATTATAAAGAAAATAATGTCCTTAAATATGATACAATATGTTTCATCTCAGATGATTTACTGCATGATGTAGATATGGTTTATCATGTGATGAAGCTAACAATTGAACATATTAAAAGCAATATTTCTCATCAAATAGAAAGTGTCCATTACTTTTCAGATGGGTGTGCTAGATACTTTTCAGATGGGTGTACAAGAACTGCAAACACTTCGTCAATATATGCCACCATGAACAAGATTTTGCTATGAAATGTACCTGGTCTTTCTTTGCAACAAGTCACGATAAATCACCCTGTGATGGTATTGGTGGGACTGTAAAAAGACTAACTTCAATCATTAGCCTTCATCAAACAACAACAAATCATATACTTACAGCATCTGCAATGTTTAATTTTTGCCAAAATGAAATCATAGGAATTAATTTTTATTACATATTCAAGGAGTCAAACACGATAATTCGAAGTGAAATTGAGAAAAGATATTCAACTGCAAAAATGTTACCAGGCATTCGCAGCTATCATAATTTTGTTCCAATAAGTAACACAATAATTGGAACTAAAGTTGTTTCTGAACAATTAGAGTATTCATTTGTTTTTAATTTTCAAACTGATGAGATTATTAAAGAATTTTTGTCTAATATAAGCATTGGTGTGTTTGTATATTTGATATATGATAACAATCCATGGATTGGACTAGTTGAGGAAATTGATGTTGAAAATAAAGACTTTTAAGTTAGATTCATGCATCCATGTTACCCTTCAAAGTCATATTATTGGCCTTCCAGAGATGATGTTTGCTGGGTTCCATCAACAAACTTATTGTTAATGATTAATATTTCAAAAACTGTTACAGGAAGACAATGCAAAATCAGTGAAATTGATCACCAGAGCATTGAAGATAGCTATGCAAACTTTAAACCAGAGAACTAATTTGTTATCTGTCAAAGATTTTTAATTCTTATTTTTTTCAAATTATTGTTTATTCTTATTACCTTTTAGTTATAATTTTTCTTATTGCAATTTAATTATTTCAATGGTTTTAGTATAATTTCAATATTTTTTTGATTTATTATTATAAGACTTTGAATGCAAATAAATTTGATTTAAAAAAGAAAACCCTTCCAGATTTTTTGTATTATGGAGTTTGTTACATATAGAACTTTTTTTTTTGTTGATTTGACATGGAATGACCCTTATATGTTTTACATCGCCTGAGAATTTTCCACTTAATTATAGGAACTAAATTGGCTTCTTTTATTTTCCATACCTGTTTTGAGAGCTCAGTATCATTTTTGTATTTAGGGATGTTAAAAGATTTAATATGATTAGCGTATTTCAATTTAAATAAAGGCTCACTTACACCGATATAGGATTTTTTGTTAGGAGATGAATCACTATTAGTGGTGGTTACAGTTGCTTGATATACAATGTTGCTTGTTAAACATTTATTGAACAACAGGCAGATATTTTTATTTAAGCAGTTACAATTTTCTTGATTAGAGTTTGAATCGCTGCATAAAATGTATTTGTTGTGTGAATTTATAATCGATTTTACACTTGGCATACAACTGTAGCTAACTTTGATTGTGTTCCTGTTAAAGATTTTATGCAATTTGTTATTATTAGGAAAATGTTTGTCAATTGATTTCAAAAAACGTTTTTCCACGTTGGTGCTAACATTTTTACTAAATGGAGGATTAAACCAAATGATGTTGCGTGCTCTGTTCTGTTTTTGAGTTGATATTGCTTTAGGATTATATGTTAGACTACATTTAAAACCAGACTTTAATAATGTTGAAATATTTATTTGGTAGAAGAATTTGTAGATAATCTAAGTTTAACCGAGTGTGGTATTTGTTTTAGTATACTTGGAAGGTGATTTGAGTCAGCATGGATGTAATTTAATGTATTATCAGGTTTGAAATAAAGTTTAAAAGTGCACTTACTAAGATTTAGAGTAACGTTGAGGTAGTTGACAATTTTCATGTTGCATTATATAGAAATCCGTAAATCGTTGTTTTTAAATATTTCGACAACGTGCTTTTTTATTTTTTCAATTTGAGGACTAAAAACTGCTAAGCCATCGTCAGGGTATAAACCAACCTGAAACTTGTTATAAAATTTTGAAATTTCAAAAAGAAGGAATTTCAAAATTTTTTTATCAAATAATCAAAACAACAACAATATATATATATATACATATATATATATATATATATATATATATATATATATATATATATATATATATATATATATATATATATATATATATATATATATATATATATATATATATATATATATATATATATATATAGTTTTTATTTAAAAAAATATTTGATGTATATATTTTTTTTTAAGTTTTTTTTTTTTAGTGTTTAAATTTATACTAATTTTTAGTTTTACTTAATTTAGACGCAATTTGACAGCTGAAAATGGTTATTTATGGCTTGGTGAAGATAATATGATAAATGATTTTCCATATGACAATGGAGGACTATGTGCTAACATAGTAAAAATTTTGTTTTCTTTTTATTTAAAACTACTTCCATAGGTATAGTCAAAAAATCTTTTGGTTAAAAGCAAATAAAGAAAACATTTTTTGTTTTGCTTATGTAGTTTTTATTGAAATAAATTCTGTTGAACTAGATTCTATCTGTATTCTTCTTTACTGTTTTAAAAATAAAACTTAGATGTTTTTTTTTATTTATTTATCTGAACTCATTTTTCATGTTTCCATTTGCATCCTATTTGTTCATGTTTCAATTGAGAATCTATATTGATTTTATCTGTATTCTTCTTTCCTGTTAGGAAGAAAGACAGAAAACTAAAATATCATTAAATTATTTAGGAAAGTTATCCGTAAAAAGAATGCTAAAAAAATTATTTAAGACTATAGAGTAGTGAGTCTAAATTGTATTGTTAAATTTAAAAAAAAATTTATTTTAAGAAATAATAACAAAAATATATACACATAAGAGTCAATTTATGCATTCAACTTTTTGCTGTATGTATATTTTTTTGATATTGATATTTATTGTTTTAAATATCAAATTTTTTTTTCTCAAGACACCTACCTGCGTAGAAGCTTTTAGAGGTGCAACAGTATTTGAAACTCATTATCCAGTATCTGGTTTTGAAGGTGGAAATTTTGATCGGTTAAAACTAGCACACGGTCAACAGTACCATCAGGTTATGACATGGACAGGGGTTAGTATTGTTATGTTATTTATATATTATGATATATATTAAGTGATCCAACAGTATTACACCATGTTTGGTCTTATGGGGAAAAATAGACGAAAAAACTTCTGTTCTAGAGTTTACTTCAATATAACTTATATAGTAGATTTATTATATTAACTTTAGAGTAGTAGTAAATTTAAAATAAAGATTTAAACTTAACTAATATAAAAGTTTTTAACCATAAATTAACCTTACTAAAAAAGGTTAAGTTTACATGTGTAATTGAAAATATTCACTTTTCCTGTTAATTATTTACTGAAAAGAACAAGTAACAATTTTCAAATAAAAAAAATACAATGTTCTTATATCCAAAGATATTGTTGACTTTGCATAGGAGCAATGGCAAATAGTTTTAAGCACTAATCCAATGTAGCATGTATTATTGACCAACATTTTTGCATACCTATATACTCAAGTGCTGAGTTTGCGGTGAATGGATTTAAACTTAAATTGTGCAACAATCCATAATTTAACAATTTGTTTGTTATAATAATACAGTTCAATTTTTTTTTTGTCAAAAACTTTGATGTGTATAGATCTGTTATTCTTTGAATTTAAGTGTTTGGAGGAAAAAGTAACAAAAACAAAAACAAAAGAAAAATTGTTTCAAGAACTGTAAATGACTTTTAATTACGATACTGCATTATCATATGCAGAAATTAGTAGTGATGTAAATAATTTTTTTGCATCTTTTTAAAGTTTTCAACATTTTTAAAGGACCAGAGTATCAGTTAAAGAAAAAAGTTTATTGGTGTTAAAGTTAAATGCTGCAAAAAAGTTTTACAAACAATTTGTAGTAAGTAAAGCAATTGCCTTCGCCAAGAGTTATCCAGGTTTTTGAGTTAGTAATATAGCCAAAAAACACAATTTTTTACCTTTTGTGTGGGAAACAAAAAAACATTCATTATGAATAGCAACATTAACAGAGAGGTTTATATAAAGCATTTACCATCATTATGTAAAGGTCACAGTATTTTTTTATTTTTTTGACCAGTCTAGCCTCACGTCAAAGGTGCAGTTAAATGATATAATGATTTCAAAATCAAACTCTTTAAGGTTAATCATAACCTTAAGTTAAAACCTGTAATGTAATTCTGGGCTAATATTAGGCATAATTTGCAAAAGAACAACAGGCTGAAAGATATTCTGTTGATGCCAGATTTAAAAAAATAAAAAAATCTGTTGCAGAAGTTGAAGAAAGTAATGTCAAAAAATTAATGGCACACATCAAGAAAAAAATTAGAAATTTCGCAAACTGTGAAAAAAATAAATATGTAAATAGTAAGCTGTAAATATTTATAGAAAATAAGACAAAACATCATCCTTTTTTATTTATCTATAAATAATATTTGTTTATGTAAAAGTTATTTTGATAACATAATTCATTTGATTTTTGATTATGTGCAACTGAATTATTATTCAGTAAATTGGTTTTTACTTTCCTTCATTTTAATACAATTCACAGAGGATCAAAGGTGATTTTTCATAGCCTAACCAAAATGATATAACGACATTAGCTGAAGTTGTTTTTTAATTTAGATAAAAGTTGATATTCATAAATAGATACTAGTGTCTGGCATTTCCACAAAATTTTTAAATTTTTAAAGTTTGTCATTAGATTTCTTGTGTCTTTTGATAAGTACATTGAATAAAGTCTAAATATATCAAATAAATCACATGTACTGCACAAATAGTAAACTAGACTAAATTATGACATACTATATATAAAAACAAGTTATTTATTATTAAAACTTTATGACTAACACCCAAACACTTACCAGAAAAAAGTTCAACAATTAAAACAGATAAAAACAGATAAAAATGATATATAATCATTAACAGTTTATCAATGTTGCTAGTCAAAATAAAAAAATATTATAAAGTAAACAATTTACCAGGAGGTAATCAAGTCTCCGAAGAGACCAAGCGTCCCTGTTTTCCGCTATAGTATAGTACAGTTAGAAAAACTTTGAATGGTTCACCTACTTCAACAGCGTTGGATTGGAAAAAGCTGGGTAATTTTGGAAATGTTGATAATGTTTTAACCTTTGTTCTTTTATTTTTTTGTTTTTGACTACCACTTAAATATTTCCTTCTGGACATTTTTAATTATACTTATAAGCACCAAACCTTCAAAATAAACTTCAAAGAAATTAAAGAAAAAGTTTGTTTGCAAAAAATATGAATGTGTCTAGATCGCTTAAAAATGAATTTTAGCCCTGAAAAGTATTTTGCATTTATATAATATATTTTTCCAAATAATAATACTAAATCAACTAAACTGTTAAAGTCTTACTCATTTTTACACCTTGTTTTAGTTTCGCTTCTATTTGCTGAAATTGCACCCAAATGGCACTGCTTGCAGCTATTTGTAAAATACGTTTTATCTAAAATATTTTCAGTGTTGGTTAATTTGGATTATTTTTTATTATCTAATTCCTTAACACAGCGCAGGCGGACATTAGTTTATAGTTTGCTGCTGGGACTCTTTCTCATTGGGGACCCCTTTTCTACTGGGGGCTCTAGGCTTCATCCTGCTCAGTCTAAAGGAAGTTCTGCTACTGAGCTTTAGACAATAATATTCTAAATAATGTAGCTATTAAACTTTCTGGAAGCATGTAGGAAATTTATGAATTAGTGATTTTTTTAGATTCAAAGTTGTTTTTAAACAAACAAAATAATTTAGTTAATAAAATAAGTTAATATTAATTTTTAAAACTTAATGAAATAATAATTGTGAGTAAAAAAAGTGCTAAAATTTTGAGTAAAAAAGCGTGAGTGCACCAGACATTTGAAAAGTAGTTTTTTATTAAACTTGCTATGCTTAAATAAATTTGAGAAAAAATAAATTGTAAAAAAATTATGATTTTTTTTAATAAATAGAACTTGTCAAACTTGAAAAAACAAGTAATCACAATAAATAAATTATGAACTTATAATAAACGAATGTTACATTTTTGGATGGCAACACTTTAATAGGTTTAGCTCGGCATTTGTATGCTGTCGTAAAGCAAAGATAGGTTGGCTTTTGCATCAGCATTGCCGAATGTCAACCTGAATCTTGCAGACTCTGTATGTATGTATGTATGTATGTATGTATGTATGTATGTATGTATGTATGTATGTATGTATGTATGTATGTATGTATGTATGTATGTATGTATGTATGTTTGTATGTATGCATGTTTTTATTTATGCTTGTATGTATGTATGCTTGTATACATGTTGCTTTATTTAACAGGATTATTATGAGAAAGTTGTTGCAACGTTAGCTTGGGATGCGTTATCTATTACTGCTTCTGCACTTATTTTTATGTCTAATAATAAGCTCACAGTTACTTCCAAGTTTCTTCGAGAGTTGATCCTTACTGTAAGCATTATTTTTAGTTAAATTACTATAAATAGCTTAAAAAAGGTTTATTTAAACTTATATTTTCAAGTATGTTTTGAAATAAAATATATTAATTTAAAAGTTGTATACTGATATTGTACTTTAACGTTTACCTGTAAACTTGTTGTTGTAACATTTTAACTAATTGTATTCAGAAGATGCTGCTGCCATTTGAACCTTAGTACAGAACTCTAATAAGTTTTTAAAAACTGATGCCTGAAAGAAATGTTGCAAACCCCATCAGCAAACATTCTTCAGCAGAATTCCGATGGACCTATATAGGCATTTCGAGTGGTCAACTTTAGTTTTGTTCATCAGTTACTTAGTGGACCATTAGCTATTAGTGGAATTCACCAAAAATGACTAGCTGATGACTAGCCACTATTAATATGTCGGAAAGTCATTAGCGAGCCACTAATGGCTGCCACTAATAGTCCACTAAGTATTTGATGAGCACAACTCCAATAAGCTGCTCAAAAATGCTTATATAGGTCCACTGGGAATCAAAAAAAAAGCTAAAACAATGTTTTTATTTATGATTTAATATTGCCACTTTTTGTTTCAGTTTAAATTTTTACTTTATTTCTCAATTTTATTTTTTAAAAGGTGTTACTAAAAACGTGCCATTTCGCCAGTATGTTAGTTATATAATCAGTGACGTGCTGGCCACAGAATTTTTAACTTTTAAATTTTAAAATAATAAGATGCAACCATTATCTAACATATGTTATGAAATGTTGTGAATCGTAGCGCTTATATATTTATGGGCCTTTAAATCAAACATATGGTAAAATCCGACACAAATTTGGCTTTTTACTAAAATTCTTGCATGGGCTTTTTGGAGCCAGCATGTCGCTGTATATAATTGATCTGGAAAAAAAGTTTGATGTTGCCATGTGTGGCTTTCATAGTTAAACCATTTAAGTGGCAGAAGATCATAATCATTATGGCTGCATTAATGTCATCTTATGAAGTTAGAGTGATTAGCATTTAATGCTACATTTATTATGTTCATTAGTTCATTAAAACTTTTCTTTATTTTTGTTTTGAGAAAAATCATTCTAAAACAATTAAATTGGATGAGTTTAACAAAAAGATACTATTTATTTAATGCTTTATAAAGAAAGAAAAAAAGAAATTTAAAATAAAAGCTTTGCACCTTTTACAGTCTTTTTTTTTTATGTTTTTAACTACTTACCACTTTACTGATGGCACTAATTAATAAATCATTTTAAAAGGTAATATACAAACCTATCCAATCTTATTTAGGAGTTTAGCTCTAATAAAATTTTTCTCAACAATAACCAAAGTAAAATTTATACATTTCAACCAAGTTCGACTAAAATCTATAAACATCTAAATTTCAGGCTAGGTGGAATAGAAATCTTGGTACTAAAATTAAGTCATGTTTCTCAATAAAAGAATTATAATAACATATTTATAATAAAACTAAGGAGATCAAATGGCATTTATATTAAAACCTGTATGTTAAGCAAGAGACTTGTATTAACATGCTATTGTTAGAACTAATCTCTAATATGCATGTTAAATATGGGAATATCCCTGTCACAGGCTTTATCTATATTGATAGAACTAATCTCTAATATGCATGCTAAATATGGGAATATCCCTGTCACAGGCTTTATCTATATTAATAGAACTAATCTCTAATATGCATGTTAAATATGGGAATATCCCTGTCACAGACTTTATCTATATTGATAGAACTAATCTCTAACATGCATGTTAAATATGGGAATATCCCTGTCACAGGCTTTATCTATTATTGGTTTATTATAGCACTAATCTATTATTTAATTTATCATTCATCTTATCTTATATAATCACACCTTTGTTAAATATGACTATAAAAAAACTTTTATTTGTTATTTGTTTTTGTTTTAATTATTTTCTAAATTTTCAACAATAAATTTTCTAGCTGGGTTATTTAAAAGTTTTTATTGTCATTCTAATTTTATAAAAGAAAATTCTAGGATGTTTAAAATAAAAGAATAAATCAGGCCCAACAACATAATTATTGTGGCTTTGCACCCAAGTTTTTATGCTATACTTTGTTTAACCGAGAGGTTTATTTAAATGTAATTAGCATCCTCACAATTAGAGTTTATATAATATTTTTAGATTTTTATTTTTATTCAGTTTTATACAATGTATGCATTGTTATCTTTTACAAGTAGCAACATCTATAGAAATATTAAAAATATTATTTTTTTCTGACTTTTAGAAAACATCACCTTTTACACTTACTGGAACTATTTTATTTGATAATAGTGGCAATCGAAGAAATTATACAGGTTCATTGTTAAAACAGTTTAAAAACATTCAAGATAGCGTTTTTGCTGTGTTATTTTTAACTTTTTTGTTTTTGTTTTAAGCATCATTACTTCAGTTTGATGGTTTGCCTGGAGAAAATAACAGATCAGTAAGACTTATATACAGTTATTTTAATAATAATATATAAATATTTCTGAAGTGATAACTAGTTTTTGTGTGAAACCTTTTGGTGAAGTGGTAACTAGTTTTTGTGTGAAACCTTTTGGTGAAGTGGTAACTAGTTTTTGTGTGAAACTTTTTGGTGAAGTGGTAACTAGTTTTTGTGTGAAACCTTTTGGTGAAGTGGTAACTAGTTTTTGTGTGAAACCTTTTGGTGAAGTGGTAACTAGTTTTTGTGTGAAACCTTTTGGTGAAGTGGTAACTAGTTTTTATGTAAAATCTTTTGGTGAAGTGGTAACTAGTTTTTGTGTGAAGTCTTTTGGTGAAGTGGTAACTAGTTTTTGTGTGAAGCCTTTTGGTGAAGTGGTAACTAGTTTTTGTGTGAAACCTTTTGGTGAAGGGGTAACTAGTTTTTGTGTGAAGCCTAGATTGGTGTTTTGAAGCTCTAGAGTTTATTTATACTTCAAAATTATTTTCACAATATAAATAATTTTATGTAACAATATGAATAATTGTTAGAAAAAATTAAAACACACACAATGACTTTCTTATTATGATTTACATTTATAATTTAAAATTTGAATAAAAATTACATCTTTATTTTAAATTTGTTGTAATTGGTTGCAATTGTTGTAATTGGTTGTAAATAATTGTAATTGGTTGTAATTGTTTGTAATTGGTTGTAATTTGTTGTAGTTGGTTGTAAATAATTTTCAGATTAGAATAGTCAGTAAATGTTATTTTAATGTCTTAATTTAGAAATTAAATTTAATTTTATAATCTTAATTTAACTCTAGAATGTATTCTAAATTGATTTCAAAAATGATACTCAATTTTTGAGTAAACTAAATATTGTATTAGGATTTCTCAGTTATACTACAATTATTCTTTTTAAGTTAGTAAGATGCAAAGATTTGGAAATCTGAAAAAAAAACTTAAGCTTTGAATTACAATTTGTTTCTGGTGACCATAAGTCCCAATATTTTTAAGAAAATTATAAACTACATTAAAGAAAAAATGCATGAGATTTTAGGTCTTGCACCTTTTTAATTTTTAGCTTATTGTCTTGGAGTATATTGTCATTTATATATTATGCGGACTTTAGGTTCCTCTAATAAAAAAATCTCTGTTTTTTACAAAAGTAGTCCATAAGCCACTCATTTTTGGAGCTCCTTAACACTAAAAACTGCAAATAACTTGTAATTTTGTGACTTGAAAATCATTTTTTTGAACTTTTTTTTTTCAAATCTTAACTAATTTTTAATTATTTCTAGTTTTGATCAAAAAACAATTGCATGAGCATTGTTTCTACCACTGTATAGTTTACTTCTAAAATTCGACATTTTACTTCATTATATATCCTTTCATATTGTTTCATTTTTATACAATTTACCACATCAATCAAAACTGTAGATTTGACTCCTAATGGTTTTAGTTTTCTAATAAGGATATTAGCTAAATTTTCTCTTATTGAGTGCATTATATTTACAAAGCTGAAGAAATTATCTTGAACAGTTTACTTTTGTTCTGTTATTTTAGTATAGCAAATAATGAAGGACAAGTGGCCTTTTATGCAAAGTCTATGAGTTTCATTTTAAAATATAAACTCTTTTTTCTGTTTCAGTTTTTGATTTCAAATGTATTTTCAGTTTTTCTACAAAATCAGAAATTAATTTAGTGACTCCTAAAATATTACAATGATTCAGTTCACTAAACCTAGTTAACTAAAAATACAATACCACTTTTATGATGTAGTTAAAAATTTTTGAACTATTAAAAAAGAACAAAAAAAAAAAAAAAAAGGAAGGGGGGGAAGCAAATGTAAATAAATATTTATGAAAAAAGTTTATGTATAAAAAAATTTATTTAAAAAAATGTTAAAATTTTGTGTTATCCAAGTTCTTAGTTAATTTTTACTCAATATTATTTGTTTATATTTTTTATATGTAATATAATTTTTTAATTACATTACAAACATGTTAAGGTTTTGAAGAGAAAAAGATATTTATATCTTGGAGATAATGTTACTCTACAAAACATCCTAATTAATAATGCTCTTTGTGAGATTTCTGTTGCTGGGCAAAAAATGATTTATCATAATGTACTACAAATCAATAAAAACAGAATCAGGTGAATGCAGTACAACTTTAAATTTGTTTTTCATTTTTCTACAGTTTCAACAGTTTTTCTACAGTCTACTTTAAACTGGATTAATTATATATTTTTTAGTTACAATTCAATAAAAGGTACAATGAATGATGATCTCAGTATCAATGGTCCCATTGCTTTTGTAAAAACAGTTATAACCGAATATATACCGCCTGCTTATTATTGTAGTCATGGGTGTGGTGGAAAACCTTTAGATCTTAGTGATCTAACCATATGGGAACATGGCACATGCATAAAACAAGATGTTTGTCAGTAAGATGCGTTATTTAAAATATTGAATATATAACAGATTTTGTGATAAAAGATAAATTTCAATATTATAACTTATATAATCCTTTGTTACCAGGTGTAATCTAAATCCTAATACTGGAAATCTAGGGTATTCTGGGCCTACCTGCAACATTACTATTTGTGAATTTTGTTCGTATGGCACCTGTGTAAGCCCAGGCAAATGTGTCTGCTATGAAGGCTATGTTAGTAGTGCTGATAACAATGATTGTAGTGTTCCAACATGTTACAAGTATATATTTTTTTATTATCTTTATAGGCAATGAAATATTTTTGTTTTATTGTTTTTGTTTAATTCAGACTTTTTTCCATTAATATTCAAGATTATTTTCTATTTATTTAAGATTAATCTTGGTATGATAATAGTTTAATAATTAATCATTGATTCTTTGAAAATATTTTAATTAAAATTATGTAATAATAATATAAAATTCAGATTCTATCAGAATCAAGCCAAAGTTGATTCATCATCCTCGGCTTGATTCTGTCATCAAGGTTCAATCAAACTAAGCCAAAAAATTCAATCATCCAGGTTTAATCAAACTAAACCAAAAAGTTATTTATGATTTTTTTTTGATGATGGTGAATTTAATAAAATACTCACTGTTACATAAAATTTTAACTGTCTTGTATTTTTCAGCAAATAAAAAAAGTTGCATTTGTTGTCCTACTCATCACAAAAGTAAGGATAAAACCTGGTTATATATATATATATATATATATATATATATATATATATATATAATATATATATATATATATATATATATATATATATATATATATATATATATATATATATATATATATATATTTGGTAAACCATCTCTTGATTGTTGTTGATCTAATTGTTATGCAAAAGATAGTACAAAAAAGAGATCACGAAATAATGTAAACAATATTTAATGGGTAATTCTATATAGCACTGAATTGATATTCAGGATGCAGATTCAATAAACTTTCATAACTCTTGCGTGACTTATGAAAAATGTACACAAATTTATTTATTTTGTTACTGTTTGGTATTCACAAACCTTTTTCAGCGTAAGCGTAAAGTTAAGGTTGCGCAAAAGTTACGCTTAATTTACGCATAAAATCTATAGAGTAAAACCAAGTAAAACCACACACCATATCATTCTGCACACTGAATGAAATTATCAATTAAAAACTGAATGGATATGGCTATGAAAAAAATAAAAATGGATTTAAATACAGAATGATCTCTATTCAAATTCAAAGTCAAAAAATTTTATATATTTTTTACTGTTGCAAACAAAATAGTGCTTAAACTGAAATTGATATAAAAATAATTTTAGCACTATTTTGTTAGAAATTTAACTTCCATTCTGATGATAGTATAATTTTTATGCAGCTAAAACAAAAAGTTAAATAAAATATACAAAAAGTAAAAAAACTCTTTTTTTTGATAAAACCGCACACTCGATTAATTATTTAGTTTAGTTTTTTGTAAGTGACTATGCATCGCAACAATAACAATAACAAAGGCTTCCATGGCACAGGTACAACAACAGTACTTTTAAATAAAACAGAAAAAATGATGGTGCATGTGTTCCAATCACTTGGTGACTGGGGTTATGGTTTAACCCAAAATGAAATCCTTGAATTTGAATGTGGCTACCTTTAAGGCAAAAATCAATTGCACTTAATCAAAAATGACAAGCCTGGCAAAGGCTGGTTTTATGCCTTTATGAAGAGATGTTCAAAAGAAATTTCAACAAGAAAAACAGACAACAACGCTAGAAATGATTGATTGTTATTTTATATATATAAAAGAATTTCAAGAAACTGGTATAACTACTGGGTTGCATATTTGTAATTGTGATGAAACAGGTTTTTTGGGTGATCAAGGCAAAGCAATTGTAATTTTTTGAAAAGGGACAAGACGAGCATTTAAACTTATTGGCAACAATTAAAAAACTCGTTATACTGTGAACAATTGCTGCAACACTGATAGACATTTGCACCACCGTTTATGATATGCAAAGCCAAAAGAAACTTTCGTCATGATTGTTGGTCCAATCGGCACCAAATATTCAATTTCAAAATCAGGTTGGATGGAGCACAATACATTTATTGAATGGCTGAAAGAAGTATTTATACCCGAAACTGAGAAAATTGGTGGTATTCATATTTTAGTATTAAATGAGCATACAACTCATATAACTTTGGAAGCACTATTGCTGTGAAAAAAACACAACATAATCTTCATTTGTCTACCAGAGGATTCTTCATATATTCTACAACCATTGGATATAGGTTTCTATTGTCATGTCAAACAAACGTGAATAGAAAAACAGCCTCCGTAGCACCTACACCATCTTGCTCAGATACAGCTTCATCATCTTCAACAGCCGCTGCAGCGCCTACTTCAACTACACACCAATTACCATTTTTTTCAACTACACTAGCTTTGAGTTTTGATAGGTGTCAAGCATGTGTTGAGCATTGCAAAAACAGTATCGAGATGGAGTTGAAGCGATTTATTTAAGCTAGAAATCAATTGCATGTTAAGAAATCGAAGCAGTGCAACATGTCAAAACTTGGCAGAAGATGTATTACCTAAGAAAATGTGATCAAGTTCCTCAAACAAAAAGATGAAGAGAAAGCAGCTGTAAAAGTTGCTAAACTTAACGCAAGGCATAGAGTTTCTATGCCGTACTCAAATGCTTGAACATAACAATGCTGAGCAGCCACGGCAAAATAATAATGAAGAACATGTACTAGCAGCCGAACAATTAAAAGTTGCAAAATGTAAAAAGTTTAAAGTATAATTACTAAAGATGTACCGGAATTCTGTTCCGGCTAAAATTCCAGCCAGATTTTGTGAATTTTAGGTCATTCCGGTTTTAAACCGGAATAACCTAAGAGCTGGAGTTAAAACTTTTAGGCTGGATTTTATTTTTTATCTTTACTTTTTAAGACATGTGACACAGGCAATAAAGAAATAAAGAGGTAAAGCTAGGTAAAAAATATGAAATTGATAACAAACACCATGTAAATTTATTTGCAGTAATGAATTATGATGAATGATTTTTGGAAGTTTAGGAATATTGTAGTGCAAAAAGAGTTGCTATCCAGTTTTGGGCAACAAACTAGCTTTTTTTTCATCAAAAATGTTACCTGCCTCTGAGAAGTCTCATTTTAAATGTTACTTAAATATTAAACGTAAAGGATGCCTAATATATAAAATATTTCAATTTTAATCTAAATGAAAAAATTGAAAAAAAAAGAAATAATTTTAAATATAAATACTATGCAGGTTAAAACTTTCAATAAGTAAAATTATAAGAAACAAATAAAAACAACATATTAGATTTAAATATAACAAGAATCAAATTAATGAAATAGGTTATATATATATATATATATATATATATATATATATATATATATACATATATATATATATACATATATATATATATATATATATATATATATATATATATATATATATATATATATATATATATATATATATATATATATATATATATATATATATATATATATATATATATATATATATATATATATATATATATATATATATATATATATATATATCATCATCATCATCATCATCAGCCCGGAATACAAATGTTGTATACGACACCGTGTTTGAATTGAGAAAATTGCATTCAAAGTTTAAAGTACAAAATTTCTTTATGTAAATTTGATTACATGTTGAAATTTAACAAAGTTGACTAAAATCAATATAAGTTTTTGTTTAAATTGTTAAAAAAATAAAAAATAAAAAACTTTAACCGTAACTAAGAGCACTCTTTTTCAAATACAACAAATGTATTTTGAAAGCAGAACATTTTATCAGAATACAATTGCCATAGATGCAATTAATTTGATTGTAGGTGAATTAAGGTTAAATTTACTTATGTTGTTACTAACAATGACTTAAAACTTTAGAATAATTTTTGTTTCACTGTCCTTTGCATTTTTTTTTCTTTAATTTATTCCGGGTAACCAATTTATTGGCATTGTGTTTAGAAATATACAGTTTTTAATCTTCAAGTTTCTTATATAGAAATTAATAAGCTTCTTATACAAATATACTTATTAATAAATTGAGAATGATATAAGGTTTCTTTTACTCAATTTATAAATAACTAAATATTCACAATTTTTATTATTTACTTAATATTATTTATTTTTGAATAATTGAAAAATAAAATAACTAATTTATCACACATATCTTTTAATTTGTCTGTGAAAAATTATATAAATAAGTTTAACCTTAAATACAAAAAACAACCATCTCCTTTATTGAACATATTTTTTATAATAAAGATCTCCATTATTGAACATATTTTTTATAATTAAGAAATAAATATATACAATGCTTATTAAAACATTTTACAAAGTGATATATTTACTTGTTCAGACTTTGTGACTTAAAAAGAATATTATAAAATTCGAGATCATCACCAACAAAATATTTTACCATTGACCCAAGGTCATTAATTTTTTTATCTGAGAGCAAAAAACATGTTTTCTTTTTGGAAATTCTTTCAAAACTTTCTGTTTATTCTTTCTCTGAGGGGTACCTTTTACCAATCTTTCTTTAATAAACGGAGATGAAAACGGTTTTTTGAATTTAATATGAAAAGGTTTGATGTTTTTTATGACACATTATTTTTACTTTTGAAAAATGCACTTTACAGAAATACAATGACATGGAAGCAAGTTTGATGTTTTTGAAGCCATCTTTGTACATTTATATGACTTTCAATTCTACTCCAGAAGTTTTTTAGATAGATGACAGTAATTTGAATAAGGTAGGAGGACTGTATATCTCATATCTTAATTTTTCTCAATCACATTATGCGCAGTGTCAATATTCTGTACTGAGCTATGACCAGGTTCACTATACTTCTGCTAAATGAGTGGTATTCCGCTTTCATTTTGAAAATTTTTTATTGTCATAGACACAATTGAGCTCTTATTCTGGGGAACACAAGAATTAGAATTGTGTGTGAGTGTGTGTGTGTATATATATACATATACATAAATATATATATATATATATATATATATATATATATATATATATATATATATATATATATATATATATATATACATATATACATATATTAGATAAAATGTCAGATAAATTTTTTTTTATACCTATCTTGTTATGTTTTTATTTTTTTATTAGGTTTGGTTGTTCAGTAAATGGATATTGTGCAAGTGCTGATATTTGTCAATGCGACCCAGGTTTTTATGGCCTTGATTGTTCAAAAAAATGTCAGTGTGTTCATGGTCTATGTAATGATGGAAATAGTGGAACTGGAAAATGTAGTTGTGAATCGGGTTATATTGGAGCCACTTGCTCAACAAAAACACTGGCCATTGCAATTCCAGTTGTACTAGGTTGTATAGTTTTGTTTGCACTTTTATTTTTTATTGGTCGTCAGAAATACAAAGAAATGCAACTTCAAGCCCAGCTCATGAGCACCGATTGGAAGGCAGAATGGGAGACAATTCGTTTACGACAAAAAGGGCAAAAAAGCAGCATGAAATCCTTAGCTATTGATGTCAGTAAAATTTCAGGAAATAGTGGTATTTCAAAAGAAATTGTTTATAATGAAAATCAAGCAGTCTGGAATAGTAAAGATGTTATGTTGAAAAGATTGCGGAAGGATGACATTGAACTCAATGATACAATACGTTGGGAAATCAAACAAATGAAAGACTTAAAACATCCAAATCTATGTCTTTTTATTGGTGCATGCCTTCAATCACCAAATGTTTCTATTTTAAATGAAGTTTGTGCAAAAGGAAGCTTGGAGGATATATTGTATAATGATGATATTGCACTTGGATGGAATTTCAAATACTCGATGCTAAAAGTAGATGCTAAAATTTAAATATACATATGTTTGTTTATATATATATATATATATATATATATATATATATATATATATATATATATATATATATATATATATATATATATATACATATATATATATATATATATATATATATATATATATATATATATATATATATATATATATATATATATATATATATATATATATATATATATATATATATATATATATATATATATACTTATTTTATTAAAGCTCTTTCTTATTATATTTATAAAATTAAATGGATGAAGTGCTAGAATGTTTTTTAATTTCATTTTGCACTAATGTTAGAAATTAGGAAATAGTTGTTTATCAAATAAATATTTAAATTATTTTCAAAATTCATATAATTCAACTATTTTTTTTATTCTATTATAATCTAAAATGTAAACACAAAAAGTACAATTTTGTTAAAATATTTTTGGCAATAGAAAATCAGTGGATTGTACAAACAATAAAATGTTCTGAAGTTTATAAGCATATTTTGGTTCATTTAAATAGTTTAATTATCAATTCTGAATGTTGTTCATTTACTTTTTGACCAACCGTATACTCATTAATCCATCATCTTAAAAAAGTTGATAAAAATAAAGGTTTTGTCAAGTTATAGAAACAAGAGTGGTTAGGTGTAAATTATGGCTTGTTTTAGAACCAATATTGGTTCATCTGAGATTGTCCTTTCTAGACTTTTTGTATTATATCTTACACCAATTTTAGAGCTTGAGAACAATGCTTACATTAAAAATGATTGGGCTGCACAAAACTTAAAAATTTCATGGAGCAGACATAAAATAAAAGAGATGATTTTGAAGTATTATAAAAAAGCAAAATCCAATTCGACGGATGACTTTGACAAAAAGCACTTAATTATTTTTTTCTTATCTTTAAAAAGCTCATATTTGTTTTTTCTTAATTTAAGATGAATAGACATTAAAAAAAAAAATTGTTGAAATGTGTGTTCGAATTTGCATTTTTTGAAAGGACAACTTTAAATTAATAAAAACAGTTAAATTATAATAGTATAATTATTATAAAAAAAGTTTAAGTTAGAAGTGCATCTTTTATAATTAAAAATAAAACTATTTTAATTTAAACTATGATCAAGATTCTTGGATTGCACTGTGATGAAAAAGTTCAGAAAACTTTGAAATATTGCTGATCAACTTTGTCACTCCCATGGGATATATTTTTTTGTTGGTTATGTCTTTTGCAAAAAAAACTAAAACATTCAGAAGAACTTAAATCTGTTGATGGCCAAGAAATAAACTGATAAAGATAATTGAATTGATATAAAGTTTCATGAAACTAAAATAAAATTAAAAACATTGCTAATTTATTAATTTATTATCTCAAAACAGCATTATCTCGTAGAATTTGGAAAAAAATGTTCCATAAATCTTGACACTAAGACAAAGCGAAAGTCTTTAGACTTTTAAGATATCTGTAGAACAAAAATATTTTAGATGGTATTCTTAAAGATCTATCTGTCAGTGAATTGATACTCATTGAACCAGAATTTGATCTCATGAAGAATTTGGTGTATTGTTTAAAAGTAATTGCAATTGCAGCTATTTGTTAAAAAAGATGTTGACATTAAATTATAGATATAAAAAATAGATGTATTTGGATTTTTAAGATATAAGTAATCTTTTATTTAGCATTCAAAACAGTAAATCAGTAAAACAAAAACAAAAAACAAAAAAATTTAACAGTAAAGTTTCATTTAAATTTAAATTTAATTTTATTTTATTAAAATTAAATTTTTTTATAGTTAAAGTTAAAATCATGTAATAAAAAAAGGAATAACATTAAATTGCTTCATAATTATCATTAGCTTTGAAATAAATTTGATCATGCATGTAGTGTCACCTTTAAGTGTAAGTTTTGTAAGAGTTAATTATTATTATCTATATTTTTATATGTTGTTTTATATAAAGTTATATTTTCTAAGGATATTTGTCGTGGTATGATGTATTTGGCATCAAGTGAAATAAAATCTCATGGCCGCTTGAAAAGTTCTAACTGCTTAGTTGATAACAGATGGACTGTTAAACTTGCAGGTTAGTTCAGAACTTATATTAAATTAAATTTAAGCATAAAATAAGGTTTTGTTAACTAAAAATGTTAATGAAAAGCTTACAAGCTTTGACTTATTTTTATAATTGTTCATTATAGGTGGTAATGCTAAGACAATAAATTTTACAATAACTAATTTTTTATTTATGGTTTAGTATTACAGGATCTAAACTACAAAGATAGATACTAGTTTTTTGTTGATGTCTTTTTTGGTAGTAAGTTTTGTTTATAAGTTTAGCAATTATAAGCCAATTAAGCCATTAAAGTATTTTACCTTCTTTTATAAAAACATATTTTGCATAATATAACAAAAATTTGTTATGATGTTTGATGTAAGTTGTATTATTTGAAGCATCATATTTACTCATGGGTATATGCAACACTTTCTTTTATCTCCTAATGAGAGAATACGTTTAAAAATCAGTTTAACTGCTTTAAAGCCTACAGTTAGTAAGGTTTCCAAATGTTGCAGTAGTGATGCTGACAGTTAGTAAGGTTTCCAAATGTTGCAGTAGCTCTCGTAGAGATTGACTTCATCAACAGTAAAATTAAAATAAAACTCTATTGCAAAATTAAAAATAAAATTTTATTGTAAAATTGTCGGATTCCATCAAATGTAAAGAGATTTAATAGTGACAAAATCTCTTTATCAAATTTTTAAATAATGCAATAAGAGTGATTATCTATGTTTGATTCAAATTCTCTTCAATAATTTTAATTAGACTATGTACTAAAAATATTAAAAGATCATTATCACTATCAAAATGTTTCTATCTTTTATATATATTAGTGGATTTTTCATCAGTCTTTTTTTTTTTTTTTATTTATCTGTTATTAAAAAGTAGTTATAGTGCTCAAGTACTGAGTGATTTGGCTTGGCTTGGCTTTGGTTGAATTTTTATTATAGCTTTTATTACTGTAACACTGACTTAACTTTTACCAAAGCTCAATAAAAAAATTTTTCTCAATTTTTTAAATAGTCAAATTTGTTACTTATCTTCCATATAAGTTGAACCATTTATTTTTATTTCTTGATTTTTGTTTTGCCAGAGCTTATGTTTCTTGTCAATCTTATTACGTTTTAGACCACACTATGATCTCACTCACCTTTATCTTATTCATACTATGATCTCACTCACTTTTATCTTATTCACAATATAATCTCACTGACTTTTATCTTATTCACGCTTTGATCTCACTAATTTTTATCTTATTTTACATCACTCAATTATCATACTTTTTATGCGTTTTTTTTATATCACATTGTTCAATGTAGGGATTGCAATCCTGCACACTTTTCAATCCCGCGGGATCCACATGGATTTTTTAATTTATGTACGGATCCTGCGGGATCCCACATAATTTAAAAAATCATTTTTAAGGATTTATCAAAGTATAAAGAATCTAAATTTGGTATCTCCTATACATTTTCTATCCAGCTTTTCTTGTCTTTCTGTAGATAATTTTCCAATTCTTTTTTCAGCGATATAATTGTAGTAGTAAGTATTTGGAAATTGTTAATAGAATCTACAGCTTCTTTTTCTTTAAGTTCATTTTCTTCCTCTTTACTTCTTTCAATTGTATAAACTCTTGTCAATATTTTTTTTATTTCTTGACGCATAACGATTCTCTTTGGCATTGAAAAAGTATTTTCATTTTTTTTTATTTCTTGTTCATATTTTTTAGGATTTTGTAAGTAAACCAGTAGTCCATTTAAATTCTTATTACGACATTGTGTAAACCTCTCACGAAGTGCCGCGGCTAAATCAATGCTCAAAAGTGATGATTGCTTTTGTAATTTTTCTAACATAAATTTAAAAGTTGTTTCCGCAGTGACAAGGTTTGATTCTCTCCTGCATAATAGTTCGAGACCAAGTTTTAGTGGTGCCAGACAAATAATTAAGTCATTAATTTGGGACCATTCTTCTTGGGTCAAACGAATTTCTGACCCAACATCAATTAAGGCTTTTTCAATACACACTTTTAGTCTACGAAATCTTTCTAACATATCGAACATACTGTTCCACCTAGTTTTACAATCAAGAATCAACTTAAGCTTTTTGCCGTGTTCATGTAGGATATACTTCTGTAAATATGTATCATTTTTGACAGGAGAGTTTTTAAATATTTTCCCAACCTTTCTTACTTTTTTCATGAGATCTTTGTAATTGCTAACCAATTCAGCAGATGGTCGGTCTAAAATTATTGTCAAACCATATTCTTTATTTATAACTTCATCATCATCAGTGTTCTCATGTTCATCTTCTTCTTTGCAATTTTCATTTGTAGTAAATGATTCTTTGACTTCTCCGTTGTTTTTCTTGTATAAGTTATCAATAAATGCAAGTTGTATTCCATAAGCATAACATAGTTGATGATAGCAAGACATCATTTTATCGACTTTCACCATTGCACTTGCTCCATCAGTGGTCATGGCGATAATGTCTTTTTGGAGGTCGATATTGAAGCTATTTAGCCTTCCAGCAACTAACTTGACGCAATATTCTGTATTACATGATCCATGGATTCGAATCAATCCAAGATTAAAGTGTTTTGCCTCCATATGTACATTTAAGTTAAGGAATCTCTGACTATTTTGTGATGTCCATTCGCCAAACGTTATTGAAAACTTTTGATTTTGCTTTTTTAGTGATATAAATTTTTGCATTATATTGGCTTTTACAGAATCTGAGAATTTTACTACCATCGATCTTATAGTATTAGGTGAAGTAGGGAGCCGGAAACCACTCTTTGAAAACAAATACCGATATCTTTTTATTGATATCTTTTTTGTCTTTGTTTATAGAATTGCTTTTTTTTATTTAAAAGCAATAATTCAAAACTCAGCAAATCCTGCGGATCCCGCAAATCCCGCAGATCCCGCAGTAGTTTTTGCTGGATCTCGCATGTGCTAAAATAATGTGGGGTTCCGCGGGATTGCTGGATCACGCAATGCGGGATTGCAATCCCTAGTTCAATGCTAGGTTCCATTATTTTTTAATTTCCTATTTTATTTCAGCTTGTAGTTTCTAGAGATTTTTCAGCATGTCTATTTTTTTTTTTTTCAAAAATAGGTCAAACCATCGAGGTTACCTCTATGATTTGACCCATGTTTTAAAAAAAGAATATTAATAGAACTTTTTCTCTGATTAGTTTCTTGAAACTCATAAACTTACTCTTTCTGTCATCTTAGAGAAACAGGTTGATTTATTATTAGACATAATCACTTCTGCTTCTATTGCTAGAGTCATTTCTTACTTATACTTTTTCACAGCTTTTGGTCTAAGCAACATTCTTGTCACAGTCTTGTTAAAATGTTCTCCAGAACTCTCCTTAACACTCTCTAAACTATTTAACATTGTTTTTGTAATTTTTAGAAATCGGCATCAATGGTTTAAACTTTAAAAAAATATGCAGACTCTGGCTTTTTAAACTTATTTTCAATCATTCTTATCAGCAAAATTTTAAAGCTTAATTAACAAACTTCTATTTTTTTATCTTATTCTCTGACTACCTGTATGGAATTCAATTATTCTACTACTGATTTGTCAACAGATAGATACTACTTATAGTAACAAATAGTTTCTATTGTGCTTTAGAAAAAAGCAATATGGCAAGAGCCATTGTTTTTGACATATCAATAACTTTCAAAATAAAGTCTGGCATGTTAGTCTTCTCTGTAAGCCTTATTTATAAGGTGTTTCAACCCATGCTATTTTTTGTCATACTAATGATCTTCTTGACAATCTTACATCTCAAGTTCCTGTTAATGATACAACTATATACCTCAATCTTGATCAAAAGTCGTTACCTTTAGATTTATACGATTAGGTGGCAAGTCGATCATAAATTGGCATCTTTAATTGACCAGTCTTGAATTGATATCTTTTCAATGACAGCTTGGAGGTTGCTGTGGCTGATGCGTTTTAACCTAAAAAAATCTCAGTATTGACTCAATAACATTGATATTCTTTTATTAATGAATGGCAACACTCTTACTTAGACCTCTACTTTACATTTTCTTATAATATTTTTAACCATTGACCATTTACCAAGTTGCTACTCTAAAATGGGCTTACTTCCATTTTCCATTCCATTTTCTATTTTTATAAATTTTTTATCCATCTTTGCATGAGTAACTGCTAAGTCTGAGCCTCTTTTCCATCATTGTAAGGTTGCATATTTTTCATTTTGTATATATACTACCATGTTTACTGCTCAAACCTTTTTTTAAGTTTCACTAGATATTTGCACTTATAATATGATCTACATTATATTGATCAACATTATATTGATTCTACAAATAGATTATGGCTTGAAAACATTTCGAAGCAATGAACAGGGTGTGCGATTGTTTTCACCTGGTGATGGCCTTGGTGTTAATATCCCTACTCAAGAAGAGTTGGAAGGCTGTGACTATTAGTAACAAATTTTATAATAACTAATTTTTTATTTAAAGTTTAAAAATTTAATTTTCCAAATTTTTATTAACTAATTTTTTTGTTCTTTTTAAGTAATTTACTCTGGACTGCACCAGAAATTATTAATACAGGTGTTTCTCATCCAAACCATGTTGGTTACGGAAACATAAAAGCAGATGTATACAGGTATATTTATGTTATCTTATAGATAAAAATTTTACATCCCTTATTTAAATTTTAAAGTTATGTCACATCTTAATTGTTTACAATTGGTAACAAAGGTTACATTATCTTGTTTTTATTTAAATATAAACTAAACTAACTTGGTAACGCAGTAAATGTTTGTTTATTATTGACATATTGCTATTTATCTTATTTTATGGCAAATATTGCCAAATAGTGTACAAATATGTAACCAATTTAGACATAACATAACATAAATATCTTAAATATAGATTTTCTTTTCAAGTAATACTAGGTTTCAATTGGCTACTTTTTATATATAAACAGTAAGCAATTAAGGCATAATTACATCCTATTCGCGTCTTAATTTGAAATGCCAATTGGGATATAGTTTTTAAAATAATTTTTAGAATGTTTTTTTATGCTTTTCAAGTTTCAATAAATCCACAAGCAAAATGTATATAAAGTGTAAACCCATATTTTACTTTTTAAATTACACCAAAACTTGCATAACTTAGTTTAGGCTGTTCAATTATAGTTGTACAAAACTATAGTTGTACAAAAAACAAACTATAAACATAGCTATATAGCTACGTCTTAGCTCAACATATTTATATGTTGAACTAATTAGAAAATAAAAAAATAATTTACATAATAAAAAAAATATATATATATTATTTATATTTTAAAATGACCTAAGTTTGGTCACTTAAGCTTCGAACATTCATATCTTAGGCCATAAATAAACATTTTAAAAATTTTTTATAAATTAAACACGTCCCTGGTAGTGCCACGTCCCTGGTAGTACCGCGCTCAACTCGTTTCTCCGCGCAGCGGCCTTGTTCGTCAAGGTTCGTGTTTCGGAGTTATAGAGTTGAGAGAGGGTTATAGCCACAAATAAGTAGCCTCCTCGTCTGTAGTGGCCTTCTCAGCCTTGAGGAGGTGAATTAAAATTTAAAAAAAAAAAAAAAACATACAACAATATTGTTAATTCATATCGTATAAATATAAGATATAAGATATAAACAATAAAAAAATAAAAAAAATTGAAAAGTATAAATAAAAAAAAAAAAAAAAAAGTATGAATAATAAAAAAAAAGTATAAATAATACAAAAAAAGTATAAAAAATAAAAAAAATAAATAATAAAAAAAAATAATAAAAAAAAAATAAAAAAAAAAACTAGCATTCAATACTTTTTTGTTTCAAATGAGAATAGCAAATTGAATGAACTTTTAATACCATCTCATAAGTTCAGTCACTTTAAACATTCTAATTAAAACATCTCACTATTACAAATTTAACTTCCCATTAACATATCACAGTATCACAAATTTAACATCAAATAAAACATTAGATTAACATATTGTCATATTAGAAATTTAACATCAAAAATGATTAAAAAAGCAAAATATATTTTTAACAAACAAATTTATTTAGAAGACTTTTAAATATACTAATGCTAAATTTTATCATTATTTTCAAAGTTTACTTATTTAAAGTTTTGATAATTTTGCATTTTTTATAATCAGCATTTTTTGTATTCATTTTTTATATTCAGCAATTTTGCATTTTTTATATTCAGACAAATTATTTATAATCAAAAAAAAAAAAAAATTTAAACAATCTATTTCAGGATATTTAAAATAATTACTATCATTATTTTATGGTTCTTATGCACAAAGCAATGACAAATACTATTGGAGAAAGAAAGTTTATAAAAATAGATATATGCATGCATTTTTGTTATTTATTCTTAAATGACTGATGTTACATGGTGAACAAACTTAAACGAATTTAGGGTATATATATATGTATATATATATATATATATATATATATATATATATATATATATATATATATATATATATATATATATATATATATATATATATATATATATATATATATATATATATATATATATATATATATATAAGTATATATTTACATACATAAATATATATTTACATATATAAATTTATATATATATATATATATATTTACATATATAAGTATATATATATATATATATATATATATATATATATATATATATATATATATATATATATATATATATATATATATATATATATATATATATATATATATATGTATAATATTAAAATATAAATAATAATAAAATTTGATATCCATGTTATAACAAAAACCTACACAAATTCTCTATATATAATCTTTATGGTAAAAATGTCTCTTAACAACTCTTTTTGTTTAAAGTTAAATTAAAAGTTGAAAATTAAATATGCATTATGTAAAAACCATTAAAATAATTAACTAGAGTGAAAATTTATTTTTTTAGCGTAACTAATGTCTCCCCCTTCCCCAAGGTACCTAGTTTTATGATATAGCACAGTAAGTACTGAACTCACCAAAAGCATGTTTTTATTATAAAAAAAAATGTTAATGTAGATGAAATAATATAAGAACTTTTATTAAACAAACCATTTTATTGAAGCAATGTAGTATCAAAAACAGCTGTTTCTTTTTATACAAACTTTCTGTAATACAAAGAAAAAATAATGCTACATTTACATTTACAACCCTGATAGAATGTTTTTTTTTACTGACAAATTTTTTATGTTGGAAAAAAAAATTCAACATATAGTTACTCTGTGATGTTTGTGTTTTTGAATCTCTTGTGCAGTGTTAGTAACTGTTACTAACTAGTGACTCTAACTATAAAACTCTCCTTGATTTTTAGTATTTTATTGTAATGTATTTAGATGTAATGTTTTTCCTGATGCATTTCCAAATTAACCTGTTCAATGTTTTAAAGTACTGCTTAAAGAAAATAACTTCTTTTAAACACTCCAGGTCAAGTCAGGTTTAGGATCATCACAACCATTCTACTACTTTTCATGTAAGCTAGTACTCTGACTTAAAATTTCCTTGTCTTCGAGCTTTTGGTTGAGTAAAAGTTATATATAGTGTCTCAATAAAAATACTCTTCGTGGGCAGATATTAACTGTATCTAGCTAGTGTCTTTTAAAATGCCTCTTTTTTCTTTACCCTGTTTCCAATATTGTTGTTATTCTTGACTATAATTCTCATCACCCTGAATAACTTGGCAAAGAACTAAATACTCTGGTGGAAATAATCATGTTGGGTGTGAAATATTTTTATTTTTTTTTAATTTCTTGCAGGTGCGTTCCACAGTTGATCTTCTATAAGGTATATCATCCTTTGAGACTCCTTACTTTTACAATTAAGCAACACTTTTTTAGAAAATGTGTTGCTTGGTTGCTAGGAATTTTAGCTTGATCAGCAATTACAGGGCCACTAGAAATGTTTTTTGAAAGAGTTAAATAAACGATTTTAGATTTCATTATGACAATGCATAATATAATAACATTTGGACAATGCGGAAAAAGGTCTTGTGAATTATATTCAATTTTAAAATTTTTTTTCTCTTTGATCTTGATTGATTGGTACTCTTTCCTTTTTTGCTTTTGGTTTTTTTTGAACTTGAAGTTGTTTATTTTTGATTATTTTTCTCTGTGTACTCTGTGAATACCTTTTGTCTGCTCCTGGTCCCAAACTTTATTTTTTTAGTTGATCTTTGATTCAGTAAAAATTAAATATCTTTCTTCTTTTAGGCAACATATCAACTTCAATCACTTTGAGTCGTTTCAATGACATCAGCAGTAGAGAAGTGGCAAAACTTTCTTAGAATCTTAGTAGGTTCAACAAAGTTCTAGAATCTTCCAGAATACTCTGGCTGGTTTCAGAAGTTCTAGAAAAGTCCTGAATTTTCTTTCAGCTTCCTAAATCTATATCCTCCACGATGCTCTTAAACAGACCTAAATATATTTCTTAAATCACTAATCCTAACCCTAACTTCCTTAAATAATATCTTATGCAATTTATATCTTATGAGTCTTATGCAATGTAATAAAACATTTTTTAAAATTTTAGAAACCTGTTTAGAACTTTACAGGATGTTCTGTATCTTTTTTCCTTCCTTTTGAAAACTTTAGGCCTCAATTTTTGTTTAATGAAGACATTTCGTATTTGGAAATTTACAAGGTAATAATATGTTAAGTGAAATTAACTGCTTAAATCTCATATTGTCTATAAATTTTCTTGTACTGGCTGTAATGCTACTTATATTGGAGATACCTCCAGACATTTGGCAACTAAAATAAATGAGCACTTTAAAAGTTATAGACAATCTCATATGTTTAAATACTTAAATTTATCTATTAATTGCAAAAATCTCGCTAACTGTGATTCTTTTGAGATTTTGGATAATGTCCCAACCAAACACAAAAAGATAAACGGGGCCCTTCGCATTAAATGGAAAATCCCTCACTTAATGGGCAAACTTAGCATTATGCTATAATCTTATTTATTTTATTTATTATTTATTCTATATTATTATTTATTTCAGAGTTTTATTATTGTAAAATAATCTTTTGAAAATGTAAATAAATTTTACAAAACATGTTAAGAATTAAAAACATCGTGTTTTTTTTAAAAATATATATATACAAGGAAAAAATGTTCCTAATAAATTCGAAAATGGAAAACAAAAATAAATAAAAAAGCTTTATGTAAAAATGGTTTTACTAATTTATATTGTTTGAATTGTTTATATTTTCGTGTATTTATTTGTATTAATTATACTGTTGTTTATTTTTGTGTATTGTTTATACTGTCATGAATATCTGTGTTTTGTTTATTCTATTTCTTTTTTTTCTTTGTTTATTTGTTGGGTTGTGTTGTTGCTTATTATATTTGTATACATCTAATTCACTCTTTCCCTTCTTTTTTTTTGTTATTAGTCTTTCTTTTATAAATGTTATTGCTTCTCTTTATATTATTATTTTTTTTAGATTATTATCTTCATTATTACTTTTTGCTGTTTGCTGGTTTTTGTTTTATTTGTTTATTTTTAAAGATGTAAGTCCAATGACTAGTTTTTAACTATACGATCGGCCCTGAACCTGGTTTTGTAAAACTATTCATTTATAGTTTTGAAAAACCAAAAAAAAAATTATTACTCAACTTTGCTAAATAAATTAGTTTGAGTATTAGTTAGGATATGATGGGTTTTGAACTCTGTACCTCAGGGCTTTCTGAGGTACAGAGAGAAATGGTTGGTTCTCACACACCACGTATATATAACTTTATGGTTCATATTTTTAGCTACTCTATTATCATGGTTGAGATGTGCACAAGACAACAGCCGTTTCACGAGTTAGACCAAATAAAAATTGAAAAGATCATTCAAATGGTAGGAAGACTAATACCTATACCAAACAATGTCGCTACTGTTGATTGTAGAGATAACGAAGGCATACCAATAAAAGCTTTGAGACCACAAGTAGATACCTCTGATTTACCTGAAGGTGAAATTCAAGCTAATGCTTACAAAAATCTTTTAAAAGATTGTTGGAATCAAGACTTTAACTGCCGTCCTACTTTCGCTAAAATAATACAACAGCTCAATACAATATCCCCTCATCGTGGTGAGTTGATGGACAATTTAATTGCTCTTATGGAGCAGTATACAAATAGTTTAGAAGCAATTGTTGCTGAAAGAACTATGGATTTAAAAGAGCAAAAGGATAAATGTGATTTACTACTGACAAAAATGCTTCCTCCGTTGATTGCAGAAGAGCTCAAATCAGGAAATAACCCAAAACCTGAATTTTTTAGTTGTGTCACTGTTTATTTCAGTGATGTTGTTGGTTTTGGCAAAATGTGCTCAACATGCACCCCATATGAAATAGTTGATCTTTTAAATGATCTTTATTCTGTTATGGATGATATCATTGAGTCGTTTGATTGCTATAAAGTTGAAACAATAGGAGATTGCTGTATGTTACTTTTCTCTTTAAATGATAAAACTGAACTCTTTTTTTTTGTTACAATATATTTTTTTAATTATTCTAGATATGGTTGTTTCTGGTTTGCCAGTACGAAACGGTGATCAGCATGCGTGCGAAGTTGCAAACATGTCGTTACAACTGTTATCATCTCTTAATGGTATTGGGTATAGACATTTAGCTGGATCTCAAGTCCAACTTCGAATAGGAATGCATTCAGGTAACTCAATTACAACAATTACGAATGTAATCTTTTAATTCTAATAACTTCGAGCACAAACAAATTTAGCTGATTCAATAACTTTGAGCGCAAATAAATTTAGCTGGTTTAATAACTTTGAGTAATAGTGAAATTAGGCCATAGTGATTTAACTTTTAACTATATTGTTTTGTTTACAACAAAGGACCTGTTGTTGCGGGAGTTGTTGGAATTAAGATGCCAAGATATTGTTTGTTTGGTGATACGGTTAACACTGCTTCTCGTATGGAGAGCGGTGGATTCGCCTTGAAGATTCATCTATCCGAAGATACTTATAAAATCTTGCAGACGTTTGAAGGGTATCAGTTTTTTTGTCGTGGCGAGAGACAAGTAAAAGGAAGAGGACTAATGACAACATACTATCTTATTGGTAAAGAAGGTGCAAGTTATAATCTTCCTACCGAGGATATGGCTCTTTCAGCATCGCAACACTATTTTAAATAAATGTTTTAACTTGTGACTTTAATTGTTTATAGAGTCTCTCTCTCTCTCTCTCTCTCTCTCTCTCTCTCTCTCTCTCTTTCTATATATATATATATATATATATATATATATATATATATATATATATATATATATATATATATATATATATATATATATATATATATATATATATATATATATATATATATATATATATATATATGTATATATACATATATATATATATATATATATCTGCAGTGGCGTAGGAAGGTTAAGAAAGTTGGGAGCTGAAACGCAAATTATGGGAGGCTAAAGCAGTCAGAATCAAAATTTAAATGGAAAAAACAAAAATTATTCAAAATTTGAAGGGAGGAGGAGGCTATTTATTTATTTATATGCATTATTTAAAAATTGCGTGCTTTTTATTTTTTTAATAATACAATTTAAATAAAATAATTACAATATTTTTTTAGTTTCTTTTTGTTAAGTGTTTTTAAAATTTGTGTTACGAGCAACTTGAAAATAGCTCTCTTCGATTTTCATTATCCGCTTTTTAAGTATATTGCAATTGATAATTGTAACATAAATATGTAGTTCTGTTTAAAAGAAAGTTAAAATATAGTTAAGTGCTGTTGAAACTTCTATCTTTTTTAAAATTATCCCACTTCGAAAGCAGCCAATTAAGCAAAATATAAAAGATATGAGAATAATTTTTGAAGAAACATATTTGCAAACATATATGTCTAATTTTGATAAAGGTTGGTGCTCTAAATGCTTTTTGTTCATAAAAAAAACTTATTTTGTAAATTATTATTGCTTAGTTTTCGAATGTAGATAAATGATACAAAAAACTCTTTTATTATAAACTCTTATAATATATATAAAAACTCTTTTATTAAGTCAAATTAAACTTATGATTTTTTAGTTACTTGTTACGTATGCTTTTGATGGTTATGTTTTCTTTATTAATTGTTGGTAGGTTCAGGGGTATTTTTTTAATTTCTTGATTAGAGTAGAATATACTTAGTATATAATATATATTTAGTATATACTTAGTTTTTTCTATATTGAGTGACAGTTTATTTGATTTAAACCATATATTGATTTTTTTTTGTTCAGCACTTGTTTTTTCAAAGAGGTCTTTGATTGTCTTTGATGAGTAAAATAAGTTTGTATCGTCGGCAAACATTAAAGTTTTAAAGATATTGGAGACATTTGAATAAATTGTTTATATAAATAAGAAACAAAAGAGGAGCAAGAATGGAACCTTGATGAACACCACATTTTATTTTTAGTAAATTTGAGTTGCTTTTTCTATCTATAATAACACACTGTTGTCTGTTATTAAGGTAGTTTTTAAACCAATTTAAAGCTTGATTTTTTATACCATAGTTTTTCATTTTTGTCAGTAAAATCTCATGGTTGACCGTGTCAAATGCGTTTGACAAATCAATAAAGATCCCTAATGTGAACTTTTTTTTTTAATGATTTACTTATCCTATTTGAGAGGTCAATGATTGCATGCTCAGTTGAGCGTAGCTTTTAAAAACCAAATTGATCTTTATTGATAATTTTGTTAGTTTTTAAATACTCGTTTAATTTATTATAGATTATTCGTTTTAGAAGTTTTGAGAGTACCGAAAGAATTAAGATTGGTCTATAATTATTTAAAGAAATGGTTTCTCCTGATTTATATATTGGTATAATTTTAGAAATTTTAGGTTATCAGGTACAATACCTGTTGTAACTGATGAATTAAATACTTAGTAAATTGAATTACGTATCTCCTCAAAAACATATAACACAAATTTGCGAAAGATGTCATCGATTCCTGGTGACTTAATTTTAAGTGATTTAATGGCTATTTCAAGTTCGTTTTGATTTATTTCAAAAATTTAAAGAGCAGTGTGAGCCCGTTAAGGGTTTTTAACGTCTTATTTAGGCATTAAATTTTTGATGCAAGATCAGCACCTATGTTGGCAAAGTAGTTGCTAAATTTATTGGAAATATATCGCTTGTTGTTTGATTCACTTTTATTATTTATTACTCAAGAAGGCATTTTGTTAAAACTAGATTTACTTTTACCAATTATTTCCTTTATAATGTCTTTTTTAAGTCTCCATTAAAATTTTCTATCTGATTAAAATAATATAAAATTTTATGTTTTTTTATTGTTTCAAATAGATTTTTGTATTGCTTGTAGAGGGATAGGTTCGCTTCGCTTCTATTTTCTAAGTATTTTACGTACAGTTTTTGTTTTGTTTTGAGGATTTTCTTATTACTTTTGCTATTCATGGACAATTTAAATACTTTGATTTTATTTCTTTTTCTTCAATTGGAAAACTTTTATTATATTATTGGATAAATTTATAAAGTTAATGTACGCAGAGTTTGTGTTTTTTCTAGGTTACATTCTTGGTAGAACTTTTACCAATTTCTTGCCGATAGCAAGTCCTTAAATATTTGAGTAGACGTTTTTTAAAGTTATATGTTTCATATAACTCGAAAATTTTCAAGTATCACCATAAGGTGGTCTGCAGCACGTAGAAACTAGTAAAGTTCAGTAACTTCCATTGTGAGGACCTCACTATCGCCATCAGAGTTTGAAAGATCATTTCTTTTCTTAATTTTTAGATCATTTCGTAATTCACAACTACTCCTCCTCTTTTTCTAACTTTCTTTAGAAAATATTTTATAGTTTGAATTTGGAGGTCAGAGTTTGTTTCTGCTGCTTCGTCACAGCATGAAGTTTCTGATCATACTGAAAGTATGTTTGCATTCAAGGAGAATGTTTTTTAATTTGTCTATATTAATAACTAAACTTCTGAAGTTTATGTGTATTACCGTAAAGCGTTTCAAAATTTATTGTTTCATAAGCCATTATGATTTTTTTAAAAATAGAAACTTGTTAGAAAATACACTCGCTTAAAACAGCTATTTATTTTTTAAAATTTCCACAATAAATTTTAACAAATTTAATAATGGCGTACTTACCAGCTTTACGAAGCCGTTTAACATCCTCCGACAGTTTATTTCGATGTTCTATTGTTTCTTTCGCGTAGTCTTCGTTTATATATAGTCCAGTCTCTCTTAATTTTTTTGCGTTTTACGAACTTTAGTTTTATCTAAATAATTCAGCAGTTTGAAGATAATTGATTTTGGTAACTTATCATTTCTTGCATTTACAATACGATGGGCTCTTTCAATTTCAATATCGTCAGATATGTTAAGTTTATTTTTAATTAAGGAACTGAGATAATTTGTCAAAAACTCACCGGAGTCAACAAAAGATTGAAATGGCTGCTCAAAAAGAAACTGAGCTTACAGATGCTCAAAAGTGAAAAAGTGACTTACTTGCTATAGAAATTAAGGACTAACAATCTAAAAAGGTTATTCTGGAAAAAAGTAAAAAAAAAACACTAAAAAGTTATTCAGAAGCAATTCTTGTGAATTCTGCAAATGATGCTGAAAAACTTATGTTATTGAACTTATAATTGTTATTGAACCAAAAGTTATTCTTGAAAAGAGTAAGAAGAAGGAAAAACTGATTAAAAAATTAGATAAAACAACTGATTCATTATTTAAGAAAAGTTAAGAACCTTGAAATTTTAAATATTACTTTATTATTATTTATATACAGTAAAATCTAAATTTATATAGATATTTAAAAGATATTTAAAAGTATTTTATAGAAGTTATTATTTGTTTTTGAAAAGGTTTTAAATATTTATGTGGCAATACCTTTTCAGTCTTTTTAACCAGAAATTAAAATTTAGTTTAAACTTTTATCATTCTTTCAGTATTATTTTTTCTGAACCATTTGGTGTGTATCTATTTTTCATCTTTCAAATATATGTTGATTTTAGCTTTATACTAAACTTTTACATTACTTGTGTAATTCAGTTTACTTTGTTCTGAATGCCATTTATCATAACATAGCATTTTTACATTTTACTTTGATTAAATTTTAAAATTTACTTTAATAACAATAGTAACAATGACAAAATACTAACAATACTTTGATAAATGTAATAATGATGCTTTATTTTTAACTGCGCATGATTTTTCCATGTATTATTCCCCAATCTATTTTAAGTCTGGAAAAGCTCATAATAACTGAAATAAAAATCAGGAAAAAGAGGATCCACGATCAGGGAAAAATAAGGGAAATCCACTTTAAGATTTTGGCTGTTGGTTTATTAAAAAAAAAATCAAATAAAAAGATTGCTGACATTAACTATATTCGGTCTGAGCAAAGTAATGGGATTAACTATGCTAATTTATTTCGCAAAATTTAAAAAGAAATACAAATTTTAAAAATAAAAAATATAAAAAGAAATATAAATATAAAAAGAAATATAGAAGATGTTTTATTGCAAGTTTAAATCACAAAAATTTTTGAACTAAATTTACACTTTTGTTCAAGATTTAATAATTTATACTTTATAATTCTGAAGTGAAGTCATTTCTCGTCGCTATTCCAAATAACCCCGACATCGTGGCAATTTGGAAACGCAGAGTTATATGAATTACTTTTCATTAAAATATATATATATATATATATATATATATATATATATATATATACATATATATATATATATATATATATATATACATATATACATATATATATATATATATATATATATATATATATATATATATATATATATATATATATATATATATATATATATATATATATATATATATATATTAAGTAAACAAATAATATTAAATTTGATCATTATTAGTTTTTTTTACAAGTTATTTTCTTGCTTCACTCATATAATTCCAGCTAAAACAAATAGTGGGGCAGAGTGGGAAAAAGAGTAAATATAAAGTAAAATAGTTCAAATTCTGATGACAGCTTGAAAGTTTCAGGATATTGTCTATGAACTAAAAAAGTTCGAAAAAAAAAAGGCTCTTTTCTATAAATGATTTTTTAGTCCTGGGCGACTCCCAACTGAGCTGACTGTAAAAACTCTATAATCTTCTAAACCGATAATATACCTTCGCATTAAGAGCAGAATTTAAAGAT